ATGCTCCCTATAAAAGACCATCTTTCAAGTGAACAGTGATTTCTGGGTTGTTTTTTTGTTCAGCCCAGGGGCCACATAATACAGAACATATCTAAATATATTTTAGAAAATATTCTGAGTAGAAAAAGATTGAACACTGTAGCCATTCTGTTCTTATGCTGGGCCTGAGTATTTTGCTGGTTTTCGGCATTGACGATGATTCCCTCCCCACTTGAAATACCATTTATTGTTGAAAGGCCTGGTTTGAACAAACTGCTATTAGCAACAATATTTTCCCCAAAAGTTTCTGAATCACTTACTAGATTGAAACCTTTTTGCTAGAGGACTATTTCTGGATTTTCATTTTGAAAGTACCTTATGGATGATTGTAAATACATGAAGCAATTCCCTAAGTGAAGCAGTTACCAGGCTGTAAACTATTCCAAGGCCAAGTTCATCTCAAATCAAGCAAAGGAAGCTCATTAGCTGAGGGGTAGAAAAATGACTTTTTGCACTGACAAAAATAAAAATGAAAAAAGATGATCTTGCACATCTCCCTGCCTTGATTTGGTCTCCAAGAATAAATAAATACCTAGTAACTTAGTAACAACTATGATAACTTGGCTTAGTCAATGTTTGCAGTTTTTAGAGTTCTTTTTGAAATTCTGGTCCAATGAAACATTTATAAACTCAAGCACATACTATTATGAGCTCTTTCCAAATTAAATTGGCTTCTCATTCAACTTCTGGGTTGGTTTGTTCCTCAGTTTACCAGAAATAGAAAACCTAATCTTTCTTCTGCTTAAAAATCCATAGAATAAAATAGTTCAATCGCCATGGAAAACAATTTGACAGTTTTCTAAAAAGCTAAACATAGGCTGGGCATGGTGGCTCACACCTGTAATTCCAAAACGTTGGGAGGCCAAGGGGAGGATCACCTGAGGCCAGGAGTTTGAAACCAGCCTCAGCAACATAGTAATACCCCCACCTCTATAAAAAAAAAAAGTTAAACATAAATTTACCATACAACTCAGCAATTCCACTCCTAGATATCTAAAGAGAAATAAAAATATAAAGTTCACATGAAGACTTGTACACATAAAATGCTCACAGCAACGTTATTGAGAAGAGCCAAAAAGTAGAAACCATCTAAATCTACATCAAATGTTGAATGGATAAACAAGATGAGCATATCCATAAATGAGCTACTGTTCAGCAACAGGAATAAATACTAATACATGCTACAACTAATACATGCTAATTTATATACTAATACATGCTTCAACTAATACATGCTAAAATACTAATACAACATGCTAATGTATATACTAATAAATACTAATACATGCTACAACTAATACATGAATAATCCTTAAAACAGTATGTGAATAATCCAGACGCAAAAGGCAACATATTGTATGATTTCATTTAAATGGAATGTCCAGAAAAGGAAAATCTTCAGAGACAGAAAGTGGATTAATGGTTGCCTGGGGTTGGAAAGAGGGACTGATCACAAACTGCACGCGGGATGTGGGGTTAATGGAAATGTTCCAAAACTTTATCATGTTGATGGTTGTGAAACTTCACACATTTACTAAAAGTCACCTAAGTGACTTTTAAAGGTACGATTACAATGGATGAACGTTATGGTATGTAGATTCTAAACCAACAAAGCTATTCAAAACACACATACACAAACATACACACAGAGAGATTCCCCATAATGCAGAGAATAAAGTCCAAAATCTCTAGCATGGCAGGAAGACCATCTCTAGTCCACTTCACCATTTCTGGTCCAATGACCTTCATTTCCCCCAGCATAGTGATGCAGCAGCTTTTCCTCCTCCCCAGAACATGTGGAGCTGTTCACACTTCAGTGCTTTTTTTTTCACGCCTTAAAATCCACAGCCCTGTCACCACCCAGTGAACTTGTCATTTTTCAAGACTCAAATGGTAAGTTAAACTTCTCTGAAGCAGTGTCTAAGTTGTCTCCATCAAAATGAATTTCTTCCTCATTTGTGGTCCCATGGAATCTTTCATATGGATGTATACCATTTTTTTGCATTATAATTTTTTGTACAGTGCCACCTCCACTGTGTTTTGTTCATCTTTTATTTTTTGAATGGCTCGTTTTTGTTGAACATTTAGTCTTTGCAATGCAGTTTTTATATATTCTAGTCTTCACAACAATTCTCTAGGTGAGGTATGACTGCCTCCATTATCCAGATGAAGAAACTGAGACTCTGGCTGGGCGCAGTGGCTCACGCTTGTAATTCCAGCACTTTGGGAGGCCGAGGTGGGCGGATCACCTGAGGTCAGGAGTTCGAGACCAGCCTGACCAATACAGTGAAACCCCGTCTCTATTAAAAATACAAAAATTAGCTGGGCGTGGTGGCAGACGCCTGTAATCCCAGCTACTCAGGAGGCTGAGGCAGTAGAATTGCTTGAACTCAGGAGGCAAAGGTTGCAGTGAGTCGAGATCCAGCCACTGCACTCCAGCCTGGGTGACAGAGTGAAACTCCGTCTCAAAAAGAAAAAAAAAAAAAAAGAAAGAAAGAAAAAAAAAGAAATGCTGTCTGCATATCTGCACAGTAACAGGCATTGTACTGGTTGAATTTAAGTTAAGTATTCACAGGCACTGTCTCCTAACTGGCCTCCTCCCTTAAATGCATTCCATAGGTTGCCAGGTGAACTTTCCTGAAGCACAGTCAGCCGGTTCTAATTGTGTCATTACGTAAGCTTTTTTGTTTGTTTCCATTTCTTATACAATAAAGTCAAACTTCCTTAGTCTGGCTTCTAAGGTCTTCTGTGTTCTGGCTTCAACCAGTTTTTTTCAACCCCTTTTCCTCTACTACTCTTCAGAGACCTTGCATTCCAGGCAAAAGAAACTACCTATGGTTTCCTATAGCATATTTTTTACATTAAAATAATTTCTAACAATATTCTAAATCATTCTCAAATGTCTACTGGGCTCAGTGGCTCACGCTTGTAATCCCAAGCACGTAGGGAGGCCAAAGTGGGCAGATCACTTGAGGTCAGGAGTTTGAGACCTGGCCGACATGATTAAGCCCCAGCTCTACTAAAAAAATACAAAAAGTAGCCAAGTGTGGTGGTGTGCACTTGTAGTCCCAGCTACTAGGGAGACTGAGGCAAGAGAATTGTTTGAATCCAGAAGGCACAGGTTGTAGTGAGCTGAGATTGTGCCACTGCACTCCAGTCGGGGAGACTCTGACTTAAAACAAAACATAAAATGTAGAACATGCTTTCCTAGTAGTACACACTAGATTCTATTTATGCCATAGGTTTACACAGTTCCTTGTATTAAACAAAAATTATAAGAAGCCATTGTTTTGAACTTCTGCACTAGACCCCAATAGAAGAGACTGAAATCAAAATGGAGTCACCCATGCTCACCAAACCGAAACTGAAGTATCTGGCCCTCCAAGAAATCAGGAGACAGAGATAACAGGAGAGTTTCAATCTTCAATCAGCAAAATAATGAAGTTTCCTCTGTTTTAGTCCTTACAGCAAAGGGTAACTTGAAGTAAACGGATGTTAACCAATCGGTTATCTTTCTATTGTTCTGTTTCCACCTTACCAGGAAAGTAATTCTGAAATGATCAATCTGCTTTTTGTTCTTTGTTACTTCTTTCTTCAGCCCTTTCTTCTGCAGGTAAAGCCAGCCTCCTCTGTTCCAACTCATTGGGACTCTCATTCCATTTTATGGAATGAAGTTTTGCCTGATTCTAGAATCGCAATAAAGGCAATTGAAATATTTAGATGTGGGCCGGGCGTGGTGGCTCAAGCCCGTAATCCCAGCACTTTGGGAGGCCGAGGCGGGTGGATCACAAGGTCGAGAGATCGAGACCAACCTGGTCAACATGATGAAACCCCGTCTCTACTAAAAATACAAAAAATTAGCTGGGCATGGTGGCGCGTGCCTATAATCCCAGCTACTCAGGAGGCTGAGGCAGGAGAATTGCCTGAACCCAGGAAGTGGAGGTTGTGGTGAGCCGAGATCGCGCCATTGCACTCCAGCCTGGGTAACAAGAGCGAAACTCCGTCTCAAAAAAAAAAAAAAGAAATATTTAGATGTGTCAAATTTTTGTCCGTTGACACTTGTGCTGGTCTGTCTAGAATGCCGTTTATCTTCATTCCACATACCCACATTCTTCAAATGAGCCCACGTGGCAGGTGGTCAGTGCAGTAACTGACATGTAAGTACTCAATACTATTCAAAGCTGCGTTTTGTCCCTCACACTAGCTATTCCTCTCCTTCTAACCTCAATCTTTTCTATACACCTTTCTTATGTAACTTTCTATTGTATTTATTGTATTACAATAATCATAATTAATATTGTATTCTATTACTTGCTATTGTATTTAACGTAAATTTCTTACATCCCCAAAGATCCAAAGCACTGGAAAAATCAGTATTCAGTCTTAGTCCTATGTGTACCCAGCACCAAGCACAAAATAATCTGTTTACGGTCAATAAATCTTTCCATAATGCATGAGAACAAAACTAGTGTTTGAACCAGAAAGGTCTCCGGTAGAAACTGACAGCTAAAACTGGACAGGGAGTGCAGCATTGGTAAAGGAGCACTTCATGAGGCCCTACTATGTGCCAGGTACCATGCGGAGCACAGGTTCATCTTTTGTTTCATTTATCCTTTCCAAAAAAATGTATGAAGCAGTAGCTAACAATTTCATCTCCACTTTACAGATGCGGAGTCTGGATGAGGGAAGTCAAGATACTTGGCTAAGGTCACAACCAAGTACGTTCTGGTCTTTCCAGTATTGCACTTGTCGCTTGTCCTCCTTCCAGTCTGTCAATCTCCTCCTCTCCCAGACAAAGGTGGAGGACTTTCTAGGACAACACGCAGCCTCCAACCACCTTCGCCTGGGGAGCCCAGTCCCGCCCTTCGCTTTGAGAACCACAAGTGAGCGCGCGCCGGTGGGAGGGGAGGGGCGGAGAGGCCGTCAAGACGCAAGGCACCGCCCACGACGCCGCTGGTGTCGTCATTACGCAGGGCCGAAGCGGCGCAGCCACGTTCTTTAAATATGGCCTATCCCCGGCGCGCGCGACGCTGTGAGGAGTGGCGTGGAGCGTGTATGGTGTGTGGCTGCGGCCTGGGCAAGAGCCGCCGCGGACCATGAGGTGGGCGGAAAGGCTGCGTTGAAGCCGAGACGCGGGGGTGCTCGTGCGGGGGCGGGAGGAGGGAACATGGCGACCGGGCCGGGACTCTGCTCCTGGCTCTGCGCGGCTCCTACCCCTGCTTTGCTCGCCCTTTGCCTGCCTGCCTTGTTTCCCCTCTCCTTGCGACCCCTTTCCCTCAGCCGTTCCTTTTGCCTTCACCGACTCTTCCCCCCGACCTTACCCCGGCTCCACACTGGGTCGAAGTGTGAGAGGTAGATGAAGGGGGAGCCGGTAGGGCCTCTCCGGTGCCGAGAGACCGACTCCTACATTCGTTGAGGTTTTCGCGTGTCACTTTATCAGTCTGCCCGGGGTCCCAGAAATAATACTGAACATGGAGAGATCAAGCCTGATCTGTAGTCCTGACGATGTCTTTAAGTGATCTAATGAAACGTCGCTTAAGTGGACGACCTCAGTCTGCTCAAAGGTGAGGTCCTCTGCTAAAGGCCTAAGATTCCTGATACCGAGGTAGCTTTTGTCACGCAGTGCCTGCCAGAATCTGCCCCATAACCAAGCAAGGTCAGGAAAAGAAAAGCAAGATTTATTTTGGCAGTCAGGGAGTGGAGACCTGAGTTCACTTCCAGTGCCGTGCCACCAGGTAGCCTAGCATGTGAGCAATGAGAACACCATTCTGTTTCCGCTCTCATTTCCATAGTGAGGGACCTCAGAGTAACACTCCCCGGCGTAGATTAAGTGAAAACGGACTCCTCGTACATCGTCAGTGATGCTCTGCCTCAACCTCGGGGAACGTTCATCCGTTTGCTGTATTCTGTTTTAGATGCCACAGCTGTTGAGGGTAGATGTTTAGGGCGAGATTCATCCTCATCTAGCAGCACCTGGCCTAGCCAATCACTCACTTTTGATCTTGGCCTCTTGTTTTTCCTCAGTTGAGTAAATTCGGGAGGGATCCTGTTTGTATCGGAGCCTTCGCAGCCAGGAAGCTGTGAACTGTGAACTAGAGTGAAGCAGAAATCTAGGAAGATGAGCTCCAAGATGGTCATAAGTGAACCGGGACTGAATTGGTGAGTTGTAGCCATTTTGTAATCCACTGAAGAGGAGTATAGTGGGGCTGATGGTTGACATAAGAAAGTAGATTTTCGGCATAGAGAGATTTGGAGGAAACAGAAGTTACAAGTTTCGGGTCTGAGAATTTACCCTATCCTCATCTACACGTACTAAATGCTTGAATTAGGCTGACTCCACTTCCACTCCTATCGTGGAACAGCAGTTCAGTCCTCAAATTGTTTTTAGGTGCGTGTTGTTCTCCTGTGAAGGAGAGATACTGGAATTTTCTTGTGTCCAAGAACCTTGCCCATTTCCCTAAAAGTAATAAAAAAAGACTTTTTTTTAAGAATAGACGTGCTGTTATGTTGAAGTGTATATCAAATGATAATATAAATGCATAGATGGTATTTTAGAAGTGTATGAAAACTTTGCAGATATCCGTTTAAATAATATAATAGCTAACACATGTGCTGCGTTAGTTCATTTTAACTCACTTTTACTGAGCCAGCCAAGGAGGATCAAAAGTTACAAACGGTTACAAAGAGTATTAAAATAGTACCTGACTCAGAATATTAAGTCAGGATGTTATAATGTATTTGTTTATTGCAAACAACACTCCCATCCCCAGGGAATTCATAGCCCCTGAGTCCCTTCACTTAGTTTTTATATGATATGCAGAAACTTAAAAATTTATCGAGATGTCACAGATGTAATACCACAACAAGGTGGTAAGAAACTGTAGTGGTACATAGCAAATAAGGCATTCTAATTTTACCATTCCATTAATACCTTTATTGTAGTTTTTTGGATAAATGCCTTTAAGACAGTTAAAAAGAGAAAAGAATATGGAGCAAATATGCTAGAATTTCCTATATGGACAGTAGGATAGCCAGAAGTTGCGATTTGATTAGATAAGAGATAGGAACAGTTGCATTCCTTGCCAGTGCTGTAAAGTATGCATTCAGATGTAGCACAGATGCTCTTATACACCACTGGCATTGTGGAACGAAATGTTGTTTAGAACTTTTGCACAATATTGTAGCCATGGAATTATCCTTTTCCACAGAATTTTACTGACCTTTTTCCTCCCTGGATTAATGGATTCACTGTTTTAAAATGTTTAACTTCATTAAAACAGCATTTTTGGATGCCTAACTATATGGAAAGCTTTGAATACTGTATGTTAGTCTCTAAATGAATTACGGTGTTACAAATAATCGTATCACCTTTGAGGTGCTTTTTGCAAACCAGTTATCCCATTTGCCGTAGTAAACAAAATGGGATATTTAGTCTTTGTAGTGTCTTTTGGCTCAAGACAATGGTGCGTGAAACCAAAATGAGTTGAGAAGTGTTTTCAGCAACCAAATATCTTAATGTTATGTCCTAGAGCCAGAAGTGAGATGAGCCTTTGACAGACCTGTGATTATACTTCAGTCTTTTCTATCTTTAACTCTCCAGCTCTGTGACATTTATTTAATTAGGTACTAAAGAAAATGCAAGGCTGATTATTGGAGCTGGAGAATTTCATCATGGGCCTGGGTTTAAGGCTATTCAGGAAGTAACACTTAAAAGTCCACAGATCTGGTATATGAAATTAAACATAGTAAGAAGAGATTGTCTGGGGGTCATGGGGCAAGAAGGTATGAAATTATAAGTTAAAATTGTGCCATTATGTGTCTTAGTCTAGGATGAGATTTTGAATTGTCAGATATAAGTAAATTACTTTGTTTCACAGGGATATTTCCCCCAAAAATGGCCTTAAGACGTTTTTCTCACGAGAAAATTATAAAGATCATTCCATGGCTCCAACTTTAAAAGAACTATGTGTTTTATCCAACAGGTAATATGTTTATTTGGTTATTTCCATATTTAATTGTTGCTTTTCTTATAGTTGAAGTTTTATATGTATCTCTAGTATTAAACATTTAAGTTATAGAAATGGTAAACCTAAAACAACTTTTAATACTTTGGTATTTATCTTTTCAGACCTTCAGTTCTTTCTCCACACATGAACTGCAAAACACTTTTATATTGTTTTCTAGTACTATACTAAAACATTTATCCCAATAATTTTCATACTACTGTACTAATAATATAGTATAATATTGTACTAACATTTGTACCGATAAATGGTTTAGTACCAGTATTATGCTAGTAATTATTTAGAATAGTAGTAAATAGTATACTACTTAATAATACACACACACACACACACATAATACAAAATGGGATTATACTAAATATACTATAAAACTGTTTTTGTAGTTATCTGTCATTTTAAGTGATATTTTGAATATCTTTCCATGCCCCAACATGTAATTCAACCTTAATAGTTGTATATTACCTCACTGCGTAGATTATAGATGTGCTTTTAATTCATCCAATTAGTGCTGTGTTGCGAAACATTGTGTTCTGGTTTTTGGTTTTCTTTTGTAATTAAAAACAATGTATCGGTGAATTTTTATAGTTATTTCTATAAGATACACTCAGAGAAATTGAATTGTTCAGTCAGACTGTGTTTTATATTTTAAAAGATACTGCCAAATTCCTAAAGATTTTTTTTCTCTCTGATATTTAATGACTAAAAAGTGATAATTTGTACTTCTTACTGCTCACCTGCCTGTAGTACCTCGTCTTGTCCTTTTTGATGGACTATTTCCACTCTATTGTTGATGAATCTGAAAACCAAGTAATTGAGTTTACTAGAAAAATGGATCAATATACGAAGGAGGAATTAGGAAACTCCCCCAGGGGAGCGCAACATTAACTTTCTTCCATTCTCCTTTTACAGTGGAGGGCATGTCTCCCCATCTTTTCCTACCTTCTCAGTTTACTTTTCTGTCAGTCATCCCCTCTTAGTCCTCTATCTTTGTTCGCTCCCATTTTCCATCATCTTGATCACTTTTTGGTTTTGGTGTTTGTTTTTTTAAGAGACATAGTCTTGCTGTGTTCCTCAGGGTGATCTTGAATTCCTAGCCTCAAGTGATTCTCCAATTTGGTCTCCCAAAGTGCTGGGGTTACAGGCAGGAGCCACTCTGCCTGGCCAACTTAATCAGTATTTGAACATGCTCAACTTGTCCTGTTTTAAATAATCTCTGGACTCCACATTTGCTCCCAATTACTTCTACTCTCATTTATATTTAGACTTCTTTAAAGACTTGTATATGCTCACTGAGAAGAAATGCGGAACAAAAAAGCTGTAAGACATATCAAAAACAATTAACAAAACAGTAATAGTAAGTCTTTCCCTATCAATAATTACTTTAAATGTAAACTGATTAAATTCTTGAATCAAAAGGTAGATTGGCAGAATGGATTTAAAAACAGGACTAAAAACTTTTCGTTTACTGCACATCCTCCTGCACTTGCTGGCATTACAGGAGTGAGCCACCACATCCAGCCCATAGCTGTATTATATTCTATTGTTGGTTGTTGGTCCTATTGTTATTTTTAAATTGTCCTCTGTTGATATTTAGCTTGTTTCCATTCCTTTACCGTTAGAAACAGTAAGCATCCTTTTTACATGTGCTTGTATAAGCAGGACAAACTCCCATCGGTGAAGGGTATGTGTATATATTTATTTTGATAGATATTGCCAGATTGCCATTAAAAGCAGTAAGGAAAAAAGCGCTTTTTTGATGCCATCAAATGAATGCATAAGTTTACATAAAAACAAGCAGGAGTTATTTTAAAGAGACAATTTTAGCCCAGATTCAGTGCTTGACACCTATAATCCTAGCATGTTGGAAGGCTAAGGCAGGAAGATCACTTGAGTCCTGAATTTGAGACCAGTTGGGGCAACAAATTGAGACCCCATGTCCCCCAAAATAGTTAGCTTCATGTGGTGGCACATGCCTATAGTCCTAGTTAATCAGGAGGCTGAGGGCTGAGGCATGAGGATCACTTGAGCCCAGGAATTTGAGACTGCAGTGAGCTCTGATTGTGCCACTGTACTCCTGCCTGGGCAACAGAGTGAGATTCTGTCTACAAAAAAAAGAGAAAAAGTTTTTTTAAAATAAATGTTTTAAAGGGGAAATTTCAGAAGCAACTTTGCTCTTGCCACAGTGCATAGTTAGAATGTCTGTGCTGATGTCAGATGTACAAGGTTAAAGTACAAGACTCCCTTATGTATGTAAATTTGTGGATATTTTTAAAAACTATTTGTTATTCAACTTGTACAGGTTTTTTGAGGATAAGTGATTTTTTTAAACTTACTATTAATTAAGTACAGAATTGCGTTTATTTGGATCAAAAAAGATGCCTACCATTTCTATTTTCCTTGGATTTAGAGAATATATATCTTTATCTTTAAAAAAATAAAAATTGGGATTTCCGTCTCTGGAATCCCCTCCCACAATAGCGTGGGAGCTCATTCTACTTCTCTCTCTTTCTCTCTCTGCCTAATAAATCACTCTGTGCAAAAAAAAAAAAAAAAAAAAAAAAAATCATCTCAGGCCATGCATAGTGGCTCACACCGGTAATGCTAGCCCTTTAGGAGCCCAGGAGTTAAAGACCAGCCTGTGCAACATGGTGAGACCCTGTCTACAAAAATAAAAAAAAATAGCCAGGTGTGGTGGTTGTGCAGCTGCAGTCTCAGCTCCTGGGGAGGCTGAAGTATGAGGATCACCTGAATCCAGGGAATTTGAGGCTGCAGTGAGCCAGGATCTATCTATTGCACTCCAGGCTGGGCACCAGAGTGAGACCCTTTCTCACACACATAAGAAAAAAATAGTCTCACCTGGGCACAGTAGCTCATTCTTAAAATCTCAACTGTTTGGGAGGCTAGGGGTGACAGGATCACTTGAGCCCAGGAATTAAAGACCAGCCCTAAACAACATAGCAAGACCTCATCTCTACACATAATTTAAAAGTTAGCCGGTGTGGTGGCATGCATGTGTGGTCCCAGCTGCTCGGGAGACTGAGGTAGGAGGATCACTTGGGAGCATCACCTAGGAAGTTATGGCTACAGTGAGCCATGATCACACCACTGCACTCCTGCCTGGACAACAGAGCAAGACCCCATCTCAAATTTTGAGACCTTATCTCAAAAATTAAAAAAAAAAAAAAATGTTAATATATTTGAACTCGTCTCAGCCTTTCTCTTTTCACACACAAAAAATTTTTAGTTTTAATCTTCATCTTGCCACTGCTTCTTACTTTATTTTTTATTTTAGAGTGGTCGTCTTGCCATGTTGCCCAGGCTAGACTGAAATTTCTGGGTTTAGGTGATCCTCCTACTTCAGCCACCTGAATAGATGGGATTATAGGTGCATGTCAGTGTGCCCAGTTTATTTTAATGGTTCTTTCCAAGTCCACTTCTGTTCAGCATATCTCAGATGTGGGTTATAACCTGGCTTTGTGAAGGCATTTTGCTGGAAGTTGGGCATATCTAACTCCTAAAATATTTTTTTCTTTGAATATCCTTGTTTTCTTTAGATTTCTATAGAGCACAAAATAATTTATTACTATAATTTACCTTGTACTACAGAAAAAGTACACAAGCTATTGATATAATGTTTTAGTCTTTTTTCCTAACTTTGTTTTACTAAGAATCATTACAGTAATTGTTAGAGTAATTACTGTAATAATTCTTAATAACTATAATTACTACAATTATTATTTCAGGCTTTATTAATTTACAACTGTTTTCTTATTGAAAACCAAGGCCTTTTGTTCTGTTAATTTCAAGATTAAAAAAAAAAAAAAAAACTTTCCTTTTGCTCTCTGTGCTCCATAAATGTTTGTAAAATGAAAGGACAGCTTGAATAGTGTTTTTACAAATGAATGATATGAAAAGTTAATTTTGTGTTACTTTTCTTTGAAGCATGAAAAAAAGATTATAGAATATTTGGAAAGTCCCCTAAGAAAATAAAGGATATTAAAATGCCCCTTGAGCCATTCAGGTAGAAATAGCACTGTAAACAATTGCCTTTTTTTTTTTTTTTTTTTTTTTTTTTTTTTTTTTTTTTTGAGACGGAGTTTCGCTTTTGTTACCCAGGCTGGAGTGCAATGGCGCGATCTCGGCTCACCGCAACCTCCGCCTCCCGGGTTCAAGCAGTTCTCCTGCCTCAGCCTCCTGAGTAGCTGGGATTACAGGCACGCGCCACCATGCCCAGCTAATTTTTTGTATTTTTAGTAGAGACGGGGTTTCACCATGTTGACCAGGATGGTCTCGATCTCTTGACCTCGTGATCCACCCGCCTCGGCCTCCCAAAGTGCTGTGATTACAGGCTTGAGCCACCGCGCCCGGCCTCCTTTTTTTTTTTTTAATTAAAGTTTCTGGTTGCAGATATACATAACTCAGTTTTAAGCAAACAAGGGGGAAAATAGCTTTAAATATGTAATATATATATTATATAAATATTTAAATATTATATACTTAAAGAGAGAGGAAGTGATTTAACATATTTAATACAGGAAAATAAATCAAACTCAGAAAATACTGGTAGATTTGAAATGGAGACTAGAAGCACCATTTCCAAATGCTACTTTTAAACAAGCTACCAAACCAGTATTTAAATTATAGGAAACTTGAAAGTTTTAGATTCTGCCCTTTTTTTTTTTTTTTTTTTTTTTTCATAGAAACTGTAAGAAAGGAGAATAGGTAGTTGACAAAATGCTGGGGGAAAACTTCAGACCATCAAGTGAAATAATATATAGTGCTGTATACGTGGATAGAGAAACCTGTCAGATGCTTTTGGTTTGCACCCTGATGAAGATTTTGACAGTACTGCACATGGAAATGATCTTGATGTGCTACCTTTCATTCTTTGCTGAATGTAGCCAATTTAAACTGCTAGAATTTCTTGACATTCCTACTCTGGCATATCTGAGTCAGCATCTTGTTGCTGCAGCAGCTTAATTAAATTTGCCAGTTTGTGCCATGAGGACAGACATGTTCTCATATTCAGAGAGACAGCTGTGAAGCAGCATTGTTAAGAGTGCAGACACAATACTGTTAGGTTTGAATAGCTCTCAAGACATTTTCTAGTGAGAAGTCAATTTGCTGTAATATGTTTCTCCCAGGATCAGCAGTTAATATTCATTTTGTTAGCCTAAAATATGCTTATTTTTATTCAGTTATTGGAGAAACTTCAGTAGCTAAGTATGTCTTCTTTTACCTGTGTTATTTTCAGACCCAACATACGCATGCTAATTTTAATTTCCAAAATTATTCTCTCATTCCCTTATCAGCTCTCTTGATTAGTTTTTTATCCATCATTTAGCTCTAGGAGAGTGGTCTTAAATATTTTTGCTTTATTTGGGTACCTACATATTTTCTAAAATACTGTTGTCATCTTTTGAAATTTTTGCCATATTTATTCTAGTATTATAAAGTTAATGTAAAACAAATTAGTGGTAGGTTTGATGGAATGTAACTCACCCTTTGTCCGGCATGGTTCTAAATTAGTATTTCTCAGCCATATCAGACTGATATCCTCCCGCATTTTATAACAGATATTTATAGGAAGTAAGACACCTCCTTTACTAGCTTAAAATGAAACTAATAGATATAATTAAAAAAAAAAAATCCTATACATGTAAATGTGAAATAATTTATTTTTAATATGTAAATTCATAGAGACTACTATATTAGATACAATGAGGTAATGAGATGCACCCATTAAAATGAACACAGTTGATTTTTTTAAGTTCATTTAAAGTTCTTAAGAGAAAATAAAGCATACCGTAAAAGAATAATAGGAAAAATAGAAGAGAATAAAATGTACTGTTAGGATAAATAATAACAGACTAGACTTACTTGTACCTGCTAAGAGAAAGCCTGAAGGGGACTGTTAAAAGCTATGCAGGATAGTACTGCATATTGCAGGCATTTACTATTCCTCACTTCTGAATATCTGTAATCCCCCCTCTCTTTTGTTAGAATCCAGATACACCTACAGGCTTCCTGAATGCCCTGGGGACATTAAAACTGTCATGATTGAGAACCACTGCTGTGGATATTTTCTCCCCCTTCTCTTTCTCTCCCTTAATCCCTGATCATGGTGTTCTTAAGATTCTCCTCAGTGACCTATTTGTATGTTCACGTTGGAAACCTAAGTTCTTCTTCGTCCCATTGTGTTGATGTACATACCTACTTTTCTTTCTTCTTTATTCTCTTGTCTAATGCACTTGATTATAATGTCCTGGAGACTGGAGATGATACCCTACTTAGTGTTATATTTCTAGTACCTGGCATAGGCTGGCACGTGGTAGTTAGTTGATAAATACTAACAAATGGAGGAATGAAGAATGAATCAGCAGATGTTCATCTTTCTCATTAGTTTCTCTTTCTGTGTAGATTATTGTGTAATTTAGAGCCAAGTTAGAGGAACAGTTACTGTGGTAGAAATTATATTTGTAGAGGCCAAGGAAGTACAGTTTTTGATGCACTTCTAAAGTCTCTTATTTAAAATGTAGATGACAATAACTGAATAACAAAAATAGAGATGGATTATGAGTAAAATAAGGAAGTTGTGTTCATATACTTACTTGGATGATAAGGTGACTTCTTAAAAGCAGGGGTAGTTGTAAATCTAAGTAACAGAGAAACTCTCTAAAAGAAAAGAAATTCATTTGGGAGTAAAGCATTGCAATGGGAATATGTATGCTCTAGAAAATTTTGTGCGTATTTAGGGAGGCAAAGGAGGACAAAGATTTTTTAAGGAAAAAATTAGGAAGATTGTGTGTTTGTTTTGACATACTTATACTTCATCTTTGAAAGATCAGTAACAAAGGTGACACCAATCCGAGGTTGGACAGGCAGTTCCTGAGCAGATAACCTTGCAGAAGTAATTTGTTATCAGAAATTCAAACATAAGAACTCTGTCTTCATGGCCTTCTAAGTTCCAAGGTATATATGCAAGATGTGCAGGTTTGTTACAGATGTAAACGTGTGCCATGGTGGTTTGCGGCTTCTGTCAACCCATTACGTAGGTTTTAAGCCCTGCAAGCATTAGCTATTTTTCCTCATGCTCTCCCACCCCAACCCAACCTCCCAGTAGGCCCCAGTGTGTATTGTTCCCCTCCCTGTGTCCACGTGTTCTCATTGTTCAGCTCCCACTTAAAAGTGAGAACATGTGGGTGGTGTGTGATTTTTCTGTTCCTGTGTTAGTTTGCTGAAGATAATGGCTTCCAGCTCCATTCATGTCTCTGCAAAGAACATGATGTTCCTTTTTATGGTTGCATAGTATTCCATGATATCAGGGGTTTTTAAACATTGGTGACTCCATTGTCATTCTTACAGCCTTCACACATTTCATAAACAAATATGGTGACAGGTTCTGTAGCTACTTACTACTTTCTCTTCTGGTACATTTTATTATAGATATGCCAGAATTTTTCTTTGGTGTCCATGAAAAGCGTAAAGTCATTTCTGTGAGTTCAGCCATGTACCAGAGTGATAGAGAATTGTGCAAGAGTGATAGAAGATTGTGCAGCGTTTCTAAAACCAATACTGCTTTCATAAAATATGGTACATAATGTTGGAATTTTCTTAATTTTTTAGATAAGCAGAGGAAACCAGAACATTTAGAATCTCAGTGAATTTTGTTAACCTCAAATTTGTGATTCCATTATATTCTGGGCTTAGTAGCTTTTGTTCTCCATATTAACTGATAAATCTTAGTGATTAATATTTTTTAAAAGCTCAAATTGTAATAAAATATAAACACAAAATACCTGCTTATGTGATTGGCAAGAATGATTTTCCTGTCTTTATTACTGGGAAAAAAAACTTCTAAATAGAATAAGTATGCCTCTGCCTCTCCATCAGGTAATTGAAGGTAAGTTTGCCTTGTGATCCTATCCCACAGAATACTTAATCTACTTTAAATGGCTAAACATCAAAATGCAGGTGGCAGAGTTAGATAATAATCCAGAGTTTACTGTGTTAATCACACTATATTCTCCCTGGTGATTAAGAATCATGAAGTTCCATGATAGTGAAAAGCACATATTTGTAAATTATATTTTGTTTTCCAGACGTATAGGAGAAAATTTGAATGCCTCAGCAAGTTCTGTAGAAAATGAGCCGGCAGTTAGTTCAGCAACTCAAGCAAAGGAAAAAGTTAAAACCACAATTGGAATGGTTCTTCTTCCAAAACCAAGAGTTCCTTATCCTCGTTTCTCTCGTTTCTCACAGAGAGAGCAGAGGAGTTATGTGGACTTGTTGGTTAAATACGCAAAGATTCCTGCAAATTCCAAAGCTGTTGGAATAAATAAAAATGACTACTTACAGTACTTGGTATGTATTCTGTTCTTCAGTTTCAGGAAAAAATGTTAAAAACTAGGAAACATTTTTATCTTAAATTTACATTCATGTTTTTAGGTCCAGTCATCTTTTTTAAAACGGAAAATTTAAGGAGATTAATTGACAGAGAAATTGTGCTTTAATTTTTTTGTTGGTTCTATTCTATTATAGTTCGAGCATTTCGCTCTACTTCTGAGCATGTCTCAATTAAGAAGTTTCCAGATTGTCAGTTTTATGAATGATGCTGTGCCGAACGTCTTTGTAGCAGAATCTTAGTTCATATCAATGATAGTTTCCATAAGATAAACTCTTAAAAATTAAACTGCCAGATCAAAACCTATGCATGTTTTCAAAGCTTTGATTTGCAGTTACACATACATAAATTGTTCTGCAAAAAGTTTAAACCGGTTTGTTTGTACCTCTATTGTATGACAGGTTTTGAAAAACTATCTTCTCTAATCCTACGTGGGTAAGGTAAAAGAAAATTGAAATCAAATATAAAAGAAAAAACTATCTTCACTAATATTGGACATTACTGTTTTTGCCTTTAATTTAATATGGGGGAAATGATCTCTTGCTTTACATTAATTTAATTTATGATTACTAATGAAAATAATTATTTTCCATGTGTGTATAAACCATTTTTATTTCTTCTTTTGTAAACTCGACTATATTTGCTCATTTTTCTATTGGGATGTTTGTCTTTTTTAAAAAAAATTTGGGGCTGGGTGCAGTGGGTCATTCCTGTAATCCCAGCACTTTAGAAGGCTGAGGTGAGTGGATCACCTAAGGTCAGGAGTTCCATCTGGACGAGCCTGGCCAAAATGGCAAAACCGCATTTCTACTAAAAATACCAAAAATTAGCCAGGCAAGGTGGTGGGTGCCTGTAGTTGCAGCTACTTAGGACAAGGAAGTTGCAGTGAGCTGAAATCGCACCACTGCACTTCAGCCTGGGCAACAGAGTAAGATTCCTTCTCAAAAAGTAAATTAAAAAATAGCTAAATAAATAAATTTTGACAGCATTTTATAAAATAAGCTCTCAGTTCCTAAGCATGTATTGTAGTCTTAGTCATTTGCTTTTCTACGTCTTTGGAGTTTTTAATACCAGTTTATCATTCCTATGTAATAATTTTTGAATTCAGCTTTGGATTTGATACTTTATTCTTTAAGTTTAAATTATTACAGCAATGATTGAGAAGTGACTGTTTTTTAATGAAACTTTTTATCCCAAGACATGTCTACTTTTTTATAACTCAGGATATGAAAAAACACGTGAGTGAAGAAGTTACTGAGTTCCTAAAGTTTTTACAGAATTCTGCAAAGAAATGTGCACAGGATTATAATATGCTTTCTGATGATGCCCGTCTCTTCACAGAGGTAAACAAAACAAATCACATTTGTGTAAACTGCCAAGTGATAGACAATAGCAGCATTCTGAAAGGTGTGATGATTCTGCCAAAAGCGTTTGGAACTGTCAGTATTACCAGTTTAGAAACCGCACTTCATTTCTTCATTGTGCATTAAAATTGTAGAAAAACTAACGTCTCAAAATAGTATATTTGTATGTATATTTATATTCGTTAACGATCCAACTACTGTATTGTATCATTACGTTTTACTCACATAATAGTTTGAACTGACCCACTGTTTTCCCTTGTGAGAGGATAGTGTTCAAAAGGGTTATCCTAGTCGTTAAAAATCTGAATGGTTCTTTAAAACTCAGTCACGTGAACTTGCACTTATTGTTTCTGTGGAAACCAGCCGCAAAATGATCCATTTCAACTCTGAGTTCATTTTTTGATACTTCACTCATTCATGCAAATTTGTTAGGAAGACCAATATATCATTCCTGCTTGTTCCCTACCATCACTCACTGAGCCTACAAGAAATTTAAAGTGTACTGCTTAAATAGGCCAGGCGTGGTGTCTCACGTCTGTAATCCTAGCACTTTGGGAGTCAGAGGCAGGTTGATCACCTGAGGTCAGGAGTTCGAGACCAGCCTGGCCAGCATAGTGAAACCCTGCCTCTACTGAAAATACAGAAATTAACCAGGCGTGGTGGTGGGCACGTGTAATCCCAGCTACTTGGGAGGCTGAGATAGGAGAATCACTTGAACCTGGGATGTGGAGGTTTGCAGTGAGCTAAAATCACGCCATTGCGCTCCAGCCTGGGGGAGAGAATGAGACTCTGTCCCAGAAAAATGAAAATTAATACATTAAATAAATAAATGAAGTATACTAGTTAAATAATAACTATACACACACACACACGTAGTATATTTGTAGTAGAGTTCATCTATAAATGTCAGTCTAAATTTAAGCGTTTAAAGCTGGTCACTGTAAACAACAGTGTTAATATATTTAACATTAGTGAACTCTACACTTAAAAAGGGTAAATTTTACCATAGTTTGAAAAAACAAAACTAAGCACTATAAATAGTTGAAGTACAGATGGCAGGGTTATTACTGTTTTTACTGGTTTTAAAAAACCAGGCTGGGTACAGTGGCTCACACCTATTATTCTAGCACTTTGGGAGGCCAAGGCGGCAGGATTAAGCCCAGTAATTTGAAACCAGCCTGGGCAATATAATGAGATCCTATCTATACAAAAAATTTAAAAATTAGCTTGCATGGCGGCATGTACCTGTAGGCTTAGTCCCACCTACTTGGGAGGCTTAGGTGGGAGGTTCACTTAAGCCAGGAGGTGGAGGCCACAGTGAGCCTTGATTGTGTCACTCCCTGTACTCCAGCTTGGATGACAGAATGTGACCCTGTTTCAAGAAAAGGAAGAAAAATAAACACTGTAAGGAAGAATTTTGTTAATATGAACCAAAAGAATGATTCTTCTAAATAAAAGAATTTGATTTTTATTTTCTGTGAACCTAAATATAATATGTTTAAATGAAATGTCAAATTTTTCTATGTGGAAAAGGAGCTGGCAGCTGTTCTTGTTTTAATGGTGCCTTTGAAAGGACCAGAATGATGTTTTTATTTTTTATTTATTTTTATTTATTTATTTTTTTGAGACGGAGTTTCGCTCTTGTTACCCAGGCTGGAGTGCAATGGCACAATCTCGGCTCACCGCAACCTCCGCCTCCTGGGTTCAGGCAGTTCTCCTGCCTCAGCCTCCTGAGTAGCTGGCATTACAGGCACGCGCCACCATGCCCAGCTAATTTTTTGTATTTTAGTAGAGATGGGATTTCACCATGTTGACCAGGTGATCCACCTGCCTCGGCCTCCCAAAGTGCTGGGATTACAGGCATGAGCCACCGCTCCCGGCCAGAATGATGTTTTTAATACGTAAGTCATAGTCCACGCTGGAGTGCAGTGACACAGTCCTTACTCACTAGAACCTTGAATTCCTGGGTTCAGTTGACCCCACCTCAGCCTCCTGAATAGCAAGGACATGGGCATATGTCACTCCACCAAGCAGTCTCAAAACTGCTGACCTCAAACAGTCCTTCTGCTTCAACCTCTCTAAGGGCTGGGATTACAGCCCATCTTTCTTAGAAAGAGTCTTTATGAAGTTCTGTAGTGCCCTTCATGATCTCTCCTCTGCCTCCTGTCCCCCATCCTCACCTTCTACAAATTGCTCCCTTAGTTATTCTCCTCCCACCTGCTGACTGGCTTTTATGTTTCTTCAGTGCTTCAAGCAGAGTCCTGCCTTAAGTCCTTTGGCATTTGCTGATTCTATTTTTCTCTCAATTGGTTCCGTAGATTTCTACATAGAATAGTGTCTTGATTTTTTTAGGTCTCTCTGTTCAGATGTAACCTATCAATGAAGATGTCCCTTATTACTCGATGGAATGTAGAATGACCCTCACTTTTTCCTTTACCATGTTTAATTTTTGCTTATTGTCCTTCTCCACACTGTTTTCGTAAAACAGTACCTTTTTTAACTGCTGTTTTGTTCACTGATGTAGTCTTCCAGTGACTAGAATAGCTTTTGGCACACTTAAGCGCTCAGGTGCTCAGTGTAAGTATTTCTGAAGTGAATATAAAACTATACGTTTTATGCAAAGTGCGTTACTTGGTAGCTAATGATAACTGATAAACATTGTCTTGTTTTTTTTCCGTATCAATGTGGTGGCATCTTTTCTCTAAGCTGTATTTTACATTCACCCCAAAGATTCACTGATAGTTTTCTAAGATCTTTTAGTTTTAAAATTTTATGTTATGCAATGTCACGTGCATATGGAAAAGTATATAGAACAAAATAAAAATAGATGCAATTTTACAGATAATTGTATAGTAAGCGTCTATGTAACTCTTATCCAGGTCAAGAAATAAGATAATACCAGTAATCCAGAAGCTCCCTGTATAGTCCTCCTGTATAATAAATAACATTCTCCTTACCTTGAATAGATAATCACTGTCCCAGCTCTGGTAGTGATAAGTTCTGTGCTTTTTGTGTGTATATGGAGGGTGTTAGTTCTACTCTTTTGCCTGATTTTGTTGGGATTTTTTTTTTTTTTTTTTTTTTTTTTTTAAGACAGAGCTCCCCTCTTGGTCCAGGCTAGAGTGCAGTGGCGTGATCTCACCCCCACAACCTCCATGTCGTGTGTTCAAGCTATTCTCCTGCCTCTGCCTCCCAAGTACCTGGGATTACAGGCGCCCACCACCACACCAGCTAATTTTTATATTTTTAGTAGAGAGGGAATTTCACCTTGTTGGCCAGGCTGGTGTCAAACTCCTGACCACAGGTGATCTACCTGTCTCGGCCTCACATCCCTTATAGATGTGAGCCACCATGCCTGGCCCCTTTTGCCTGATTTTGAATTTTATGTGAAGAGAATCCTTTTGGGTCTTCCTTCTTTCATTCAGAATTACGATTTTTTTTTTTTTTTTTTTTTTTTTTTGAGACAGAGTTTCACTCTTGTTACCCAGGCTGGAGTGCAATGGCGCGATCTCGGCTCACCACAACCTCCGCCTCCTGGGTTCAGGCAAGTCTCCTGCCTCAGCCTCCTGAGGAGCTGGGATTACAGGCACGCACCACCATGCCCAGCTAACTTTTTGTATTTTTAGTAGAGACGGGGTTTCACTATGTTGACCAGGATGGTCTCGATCTCTTGACCTCGTGATCCACCCGCCTCGGCCTCCCAAAGTGCTGGGATTACAGGCGTGAGCCACCGCGCCCGGCCAGAATTACGATTTTTAGATTTTTATGTTGTTTAAGTTGTAATTCATTCATTTTCATTTCTATTTTTCCATTATATGAATAAACTACAATATATTCTGTTGATCAGAACTTGGGTTATTTCCAGTTTGAAGCTATTCTAAGCAATACTCTTAAGAAAATTCTCATGCTTTTCTTTTGGTACACATAGGCACATGTTTCTGTTGGATATACAGATGCTTCTTGACTCATGATGGAGTTACGTCTTAATAAACTTGTAGTGATTTAAAAATGCATACACCTAACCTACAAAATATTATAGCATGTTTTAGCCTACTCTAAATGGGCTAACAATACTTAGATTCACCTACAGTTGGGTATAATCATCTAACACAAAGCCTATTTTATAATAAAGTGTTGAGTGTCTTGTAATTTGTGGAATGCTATACATGTGACAAAATTGCAACCATTTGGCACCATCACAAAGTTGAGAGATCACTTAGTGGAACCTTCTCAAGTCGAGGGCTGTTTGTGTATCTAGGAGTGGAATTACTGGGTCCTGGAGTATACAGATCTTCAATTTGAGTAGATATGCAAATGGTTTTCCAAAGTGGCTGTACCATGTTATACCAGTTTACATTCTAACCAGCAGTGTTTAAGAGTTCTGTTACTCCAAATCTTTTGTGTGTATATATACACACACACGTATATGTGTGTGTGTGTGTGTGTGTGTATATATATATGTGTCTGTGTGTGTGTGTGTGTGTGTGTGTGTGTGTATATATATATGTGTCTGTGTGTGTGTGTGTGTGTGTGTGTGTGTGTATATATGTGTGTGTGTATATGGAAAGAGAGAGGGGTTGAGCATGTTTTCCTATGCTTCTTGCTCATATTTTCTTGCAAAAAGACTGTTAAAGTCTTGCTTTTTTTCTGCTGTATTGTTCATTTTTTCTAATATGTAAGATTTCTTTTTATATTCAAAATACAAAAACTTTATGGGCTATGTGAGTTGCAGTTTTTCTCTTTATGTTTTTGAATTTTATCTTTTTGTATTGACAAGTTAAAATTGTATATATTGTATATAGTATGTTTTTGAAATACATATACATTGTAGAAAGGCCAAACCGGGATAATTACCATATGCATTACCTCACAAATCTATTTTTTTGTTGTGAGAACACCTCAGATCTACTCTCAGCAGTTTTCAAGAACATAATACATTATAATTAACTATCATCAGTGTCTTTTACAGTTGATCTCTTGAACTTTTTTCTCCGACCTGAATGAAATTTTGTGTCCTTTCACAAACATTTTCCCCACCACCCTCTGCTCACTGCCTAGATGCATTCTTTCACTGTGGTTTATACAGTTTTAATATTCTGATTGCATAATTGATTTGTTAGAATAATTTTTAAAAGATATGCTTTCCCTTATTTAGTATTGGTTTCCCAGTTCATACAGTTTATCATGTGACAGAATAAATACTGCATTCTTTCCCTTTAAATACCACTTAAAAAAATTAGCTAGTTCATTTTTGTTCTCCAATGGTGGCGTGCTTTCTGTTTTAAAAATGTTATTGAACTATAGAGTTAAACGTGTGTGTTTCTGTTATTATCCTACAGTTATTATCCTTTCTGAATCTCAAATAGTATTAACTCGCCGAGAGGCTCTTCATACTGGCTTTTCAGTAAGTCTGGTAGTCTTTGAGGCTCCTGTTGTGTATTTCCTGCCCTGGCCCAGGAGTCAGCCATTTTCTAGAGCCCTTGTTTCTTTTAGTATGAAATGGTACTTCGAGAATACCATCTGGGCACTGCGGATGTTCCTGGGTTGATCATTGTTTATGAGAATAATTCAATGAAGTCTTTTGTTGATTTTTTTATTGGCTTTTATTTTTATTAAGCCATAAAGTTTCTTCGTGTAGTCTGAATACAACTCTATTATGTATAGTTTTCTTCCAGTTTGTGATGTATTTTTAAATTTTTTATATAGTGTCTCTCAAAAAACAGAATTTTAATGGTCTAATTTATCAGAAATTTTTGTAGTTGGTGATTTCATGTGTTCCAGCACAAAAATATTTGCCTATCCCAAGTGATTCTTGACAGGGTCAGTTTTACCCCTTCATGACCCACCCCCAGACACCCATCCCTAGGACTTTGGCAATGAGACATTTTTGGTTGTTGTAACTGGTGAAATGCTACTAGAGTCTACTGCTTAGAGGCCACAGATGCTGCCAAACATACTAAAAGCATGTGATGTCCCCCACAACAAGCAGTTATCCAACTGAAAGTGTCAAGGGTGCTTGCATTGAGAAACCCTAATCTCAAGGGCTTAGAGTTTTAACTTTTACATGTAAATAAGTCTGTGTTGATTTCAAGTTGATTTTTGTGTAAGATGTAAGGTAAGGATCAAAGTTCATTTTTTTCATAGGAATATCTAATTCTGGCATAGTCATTTTCAACTGAGAGTAACTTTGCCTCCTAATGGACATTTGGCAATGTGTAGAGATATGTCTGGTTGTTACAGCTTGGTAGGTGTGCTTATGGCATCTAGTGGGTAGAGCCAGAGGTGCTAGTAAATATCCTACAGTGTACTGGACAGCCTCACGCTACAAAGAATTAATGTGGTTCAGAATATCAGTAATGCCACTGTTGAGAATCTCTGTGTTAGCACAGAGTTTGATTGAGAAGACTCTTTTTTCCATTACTGAAGTACTTTCCCACCATCATGTGGATCCATGTTTTGACTCTATTTTGTTCCATTAATCTGTCTGTCTTGATGCCAAAACCATATGAACTTGATAACTGTAATTTTATACTCTCAAGATCATGGGTTCTTTACTTTCTTGCGTAAATTTTGCAATCAACTTGTCCATTTCTACAAAAATCTAGGTGGGATTAAAACAGTGTTCCACTAGATTGCTTTTCTATCTTTTGAAAATAAAATCTGATAATCTCTTTTAATTAGAAAGTTTATTTATGTCCATTATGATGACTGTATATATTGATTTGTTTGTGCTTTCTGTTTTACTTTTTCTTTGCTATTTTTGTTTTTTATTCCTTTTGAGGGGATTGCTATGTTTCCTCTTCTCCCCCTCTCCTTTGGTTTGGAATTTACATGTTTACTTTCTGTTCTCTTAGTGGTTACTTTTGAATTTTTTCAGTGAAACTTTCATTATTCAGTATCAACTAGTCTCCCAAGGAGTATAGAAATCACAGGGCATTTTGACTCTCATTACATTCCTCTTGACGTGTATGCTATTTTTGTTGTAATGCTGTTTCTTTTTTAAACATACCCACATTATTATTTTATGTTTGTTTTGGTTTATCTACAGGTTTGCCAAATTTTGGCCCACCATTTCTTCTCCTCAAACCTACATTCTGAGATTATTTCATTCTTCTTGAAATCCTGTGTATTCTAGATGTACCTTTGGTGAAGGTCTCTTGATGGTGAACAATCTTCATTTTTGTTTATTTGGAAATCTTTTATCTATCTTGTTCTCATTTTAGTAAGTTATTTTATTTCATACACAATTCAAAGTTGGCTGTTAACTTTTTTCCGTGACATTTAAAAATATAATTCTACTTTTTCATGTTATTGTTGAAAAATGTATAATTGTCATTTCTTTTAGAGCTTCTGTCTTTCCTCACTAACTGTACTTTAATTTTGGTGTTTTTAGAGTTTCATAAAAATAGGGTTTTTAATAAAATCCTGCTGGCTGATTGGGTTTATTGTGTCTGTAGCCTTTATCAGTTCTGGAAAATTATCAGCCATTTTTAATGATTGATTCTCCTTCGTGTTCTCATTTCTCTTCCGTAGGATTTCTAAATTTTTCCTATGCTAAACCTCAGTCTGTCCTCCATTTCTCTCCCTTTTAAATTGTGGTAAAGTATACATAATAAAATTTACCATTTTCACTATTTAAATGTATAGTTCAATGACGTTAAGTACATTAATATTGTTGTGCCACTGTTGCCACCATTCATTTCCAGAACTTTTCGTCTTCCTAAACTGAAACTGAGTACCCGTTCAATAGTAGCTCCCTGTTCCGTCTTCCCCCCAGTTCCTGGCAAGCACATTCTGTTTCTTTCTGTGTGAATTTCACTACTCTAGGTTCCCTGTATAAATGAAAACTTACAGTATCTGTCAAGTGGAAACATAACGGTATCTGCCTTTTTGTGACCGGCTTATTTCATTTACCATAATGTCCTCAAGATTTGTCCAAGTAGCATGTGTCCAAGTAGTATCCCATTGTGTATATATATTACATTTTATTCATCTGTTCATCCATTGATGAAAACACTGTAGTTGCTTCCACCTTTTGGCTGTTGTGAATAATGCTCTTATAAACATCAGTGTACATATATCTGTTCAAATCCATGCATAATTGTAGAAATCCTACGTTTGGCTCCCCACCTGATCTTAGAACTGGATGACGAATTTGCCCTCCAGCCTCCTCACCTTTCATAGTTTTTCTTACAGTTCACTGCTCTAGTTTCTCCTCTTTGTGTTTGAGGCCTTCAATTGATTGTTCTTGCATCTTTTCCTTGCTTTTCACCAAGCCCAGAAATATTTTCCCTTTCTGGCCCAAAATAAAATTTAGGGAGCATAGTCATTTTCACCTGTTTTTGTAATTATAGATCTGTATTGTATAAATCCATGTGCTTTTGGTATATTTAATTCCCAAGATATTTTGAGTATTAGACAGTAATAGCATTCAGTAGATGAGTGATGGGGAACAGCCTGAACCTTTAACCTCCGGTGTTCAGTTATTTTTCAAAGAAAAATAAATTATTAGTGTAAAACATTTTTGTACTACATAAGCTAAGTAATTATCCTTTAGTTAATTGAATACCTACCAATTGCAAAATACTTTTGATAATTGTATAATGTATCAGAGTACAGGTATAAAACTGTCGATTTTCCTTTGATTCTCTTGATGTAGTTAGCGAATTAAGTGAAATTCAGTTTAAAACACTGTAACATCCTCACAGTTACACCAGGAATGATGTGAAAATGATGTGACCAGAATAGTTTCTATTTCCCATAGTTCTTATGTATTGCCTTCCTTTACCTATTCAAGTTCTTGTAATAATTACCATAGGAAGGGAATGTTAGAAGTGAAAGTTGACTAATAGTACAAATAAGGAGCAAAGATATTTTGTAGATACGAGTTTGCAGTAGACTGATAAATTTAAAAACTTTTCCATATTAGTCCACATCTGCATTAGTTGCAAATGATACTGTGAATTAAATATCAAGGTCTGCCTTGAAAAGCATAGATGGAGAGAGAAAATGTGAAAGATAGCAGCGAGTGGGAGTGGGGATTAGAAAAGGGGAGAAGGGATTCTGAAACTGTAGATGAAAAGATACACTGGAGTAAAGTTACTGATTTGTAACTTGACACATTTTACAAACATGTTAAGGGAGAGGGGATATAGATATATGATAAAGCTAGTGTATAGAGATGCTGAGAGCTTTTTTGATGTAAAATACATTCTGAGACTTTAAGATAAAGTTCATTGACAGAAGAAAAAATGTATCTTAGAAGATAATGTATCTGTATTTTAATCATGAACAGCTCTCCCCACCTTCAACAGCTAAGCATCTCTGAATTGTTTATATATTATCACAAGTGGCACATACTCTTCTCACAAGAAGCTGTGAATTTTATTTATTTACTGATTGCATTTCCTGATGTTATTAATATTTTGAAAACAGTTTGGAGAAAATAATAAGCACTCCATCATTTGAATTAGTTAGAACATTTCTCGTTTGATTTTTTTTAGAATATAGATTAAAGTGACCTGTAAGATAACTACTTCATTAATTCATTGTGCTTGGGAATGTTTTTAGAGTATACTACTTAATTTCTAATTATTCATATAACTGCTTTTATTGCAGTAAAGCATGTTGAAATTTTCATATGGCTTTCTTTAACAGTTCTTAAATAGCATGGAAAATATGTGTCTTCTCTGTTTTTAAATTTTAATGAGACCGCTAATTTTAGTATTATTAAATATCAGTATTTTAAGTATCTGGGTTAAAAATAAATTATGAAAACAAAGAATATACAATGTATGTAATCTTAGAAGCTTGATTAATGAAATCAGGCTACTTTTTACAATGAACAATTAGATAGTCACACGTAATTAAAAATTTCCTTTTTGCATTGTTAGAGAAATACAGTACAAATGAATTTTTCTTAATTTCTCTTTCCCAGAAAATTTTAAGAGCTTGCATTGAACAAGTGAAAAAGTATCCAGAATTCTATACTCTGCATGAGGTCACCAGCTTAATGGGATTCTTCCCATTCAGAGTAGAGATGGGATTAAAGTTAGAAAAAACTCTTCTTGCATTGGTAAGGTTTATTACCTGAAGATACAAGCTTTTTTTTTTTTTTTTTTTTTTTTTTTTTGGTCTGAAATATCATGTGTGTGTATGTCTGTATTTTTTTTTTTTTTTTTTTTTTAAATACAAAGTCTAGCTCTGGTCGCCTGGAGTACAATGGTATAATTTCAGTTCACTGCAACTTCAGCCTCCCAAGTTCAAGTGATTCTCCTGCCTCAGCCTCCTGAGTAGCTGAGATTACAGGCACCCACCACCATGCCCGGCTAATTTTCGTATTTTTAGTAGAAACGAGGATTTTACCGTGTTGGCCAGGCTGGTCTCGAACTCCTGACCTCAGGTGATCCACCTGCCTCAGCTTCCCAAAGTGCTGGGATTACAGGAGTGAGCAACTGTGCCCAGCTCACGTATATTTTACATAGATACTATATTTAAACTTTAAGCAATTATTAGGTAAGTTTTTAAATGTGTAATACAAATCTTTGTCCCTTTGTTTTTATTTTATGGATACAAAATATTGATATTTTTAATAATTCCACTACTAACTTTGTTCCTTGATACTCTTTTCTTATCACCCGTCTGAATGCCCCTGAATACAAGCAGGAAGCCCCCTTTTTTAAATGGGGTTTTATTCACAAACATATTAGAAATAAGTGTGTGGAGAGGGTATTTTGGAGTTTCTGTTGTCCCCCGTTATGATTTATATCTCCTAAAAGAAGAGGATACACTTTAAAGTGACTGGAAAAATTCTATGAAACTGTCCTGACATGGTGACTCACGGACAGAACCAGCACTTTGGGAGGCCAAGGCAGACAGATCACTTGAAATCAGGTGTTTGAGACCAACCTGACCAACATGGCAAAACCCCATTTCTACTAAAAATACAACAATTAGGCCGGGCGCGGTGGCTCAAGCCTGTAATCCCAGCACTTTGGGAGGCCGAGGCGGGTGGATCACGAGGTCGAGAGATCGAGACCATCCTGGTCAACATAGTGAAACCCCGTCTCTACTAAAAATACAAAAAACTAGCTGGGCGTGGTGGCACGTGCCTGTAATCCCAGCTACTTAGGAGGCTGAGGCAGGAGAATTGCCTGAGCCCAGGAGGTTGAGGTTGCGGTGAGCCGAGATCGCACCATTGCACTCCAGCCTGGGTAACAAGAGCGAAACTCCGTCTCAAAAAAAAAAAAAAAATACAACAATTAGCTGGGTGTGCTGGTACACACCTGTTATCCCAGCTATTCGGGAGGCTAAGGTGAGAGGATTGCTTGAATCTAAGAGGCAGAGGTTATAGTGATCTGCGATCACACCACTACACTCCAGCCTCTATGACAGAGCAAGTCTTAGTCTCAAAAACAAAACAAAACAAAACAAAAAACTAGTGGTTGTCAAGCAAAAACATGAATATCTTGGCATAAAGTTTCTAAATCTGATCTTTACATTTAGTAGAATGATAAATTTCATATGATGAAAGATACTTTTCTTAGAAAAAATACATCAGGATTTTTGCAGTAAAATGATTAATTATTTTATTCACATTTAGGGCAGTGTAAAATATGTGAAAACAGTATTTCCCTCAATGCCTATGAAGTTGCAGCTCTCAAAAGATGATACAGCTACCATTGAAACGCCAGAACAAACAGCTGAAGCTATGCATTATGTAAGTACCAAGGCAACATTGGATCTTCCTAAATGATCTTTTATATCTCACAAAATTCATCTAACCTGATTGTCCTAAAGTACCATTTCTGACTTTCTTTGTCTTTTACTTTATTAAAGAAAGTTTCAGTAAGCATAACCAAGTAACAAATTACTTGTTGTTTTTCAGGATATTAGTAAAGATCCAAATGCGGAGAAGCTTGTTTCAAGATACCATCCTCAGATAGCTATAACTAGTCAATCCTTATTTACCTTATTAAATAATCATGGACCGACATACAAGGAACAGTGGGAAATTCCAGTGTTTATTCAAGTAATACCTGTTGCAGGTTTGTGATTTACTATGTCAAATACTGCTTTCAAAGAAGAGTGGTTGGACGGCATGTTCTCGCTCACAAATGGAAGTTGAACAGTGATAACACATGGAGGGAAACAACACACATGGGAGCCTGTTGCGGGGTCGGAGCAAGGGGAGGGAGAACATTAGGACAAATACCTAATACACGCAAGGCTTAAAACCTAGATGACGGGTTAACATATGCAGTAAACCACTATGATACATGTACACCTATGTAACGAACCTGCACATTTTGCACGTGTATCCCAGAACGTAAAGTAAAATTTTTAAAAAAAGGTTAGAACTGTTTGATTACAGCTGTGTAAATATAGGGGATCATTTATGAAGTATCAAAGTGCTGATTTAAGGAGGATATAAGTTTGACATTTACATTCAGTAAAACTTTTTCATGTATAAAGTTAGTATAGGTTGAGCACTACTAAATGAATTAATTAGATCCATAACACCTATAATCATTGTTTAAGGGTGAGAGAGATAAAGTGATGACGTAGAGTCGTCAAGAAATTCATGAAATGGTCAGGTTTTTCTTTTGCTGAAATGAATGTATTTCTTCAGCAGACAACCTCAAATGGATGAGTTTCCATGACTTACTAACTTGTCTATTGGAATTTGAAGTTACAGTAAATGTGTAAATATAAGCAATAATGTTGTTGTCTGTCTTTTGACAACAAAATTAATATTGGCATATTCCTGTATTCAAAAAATTATTTTCCCTACTTGTTTTTTTGTTGGTCTGTTTGTTTGTTTGTTTGGAGACGGAGTTTCACCCTTGTTACCCAGGCTGGAGTGCAATAGTGCGATCTCGGCTCACCGCAACCTCCGCCTCCTGGGTTCAGGCAGTTCTCCTCCCTCAACCTCCTGAGTAGCTGAGATTACAGGCACGCGCCACCATGCCCAGCTAATGTTTTATATTTTTAGTAGAGACGGTGTTTCACCATGTTGACCAGGATGGTCTCAATCTCTTGACCTCATGATCCACCCGCCTTGGCCTCCCAAAGTGCTGGGATTACAGGCTTGAGCCACCGCGCCCGGCTTTTCCCTACTGTTTTGATTCATATTTTATTTTTAAATATCTTCCAGAATTAATATTATTATATGTCACAATACTATACTATATATATATAGTATAGTATTACTATACTATAAATGCAGTAAATGAAAGACTATGTCTAATGAAACAAAACTACAAATTAGAATTAAATGTAATATATACTCTGTGGTGAATATTTCATCACTTTGCAAGTTCCTGTAAGAGCTGAGCAATGATGACAGTAAGAATGTAACAGTAAAAAACATTGTTAGAAAGATGTTTTTCTCCTGCCAGTTGAATTTTCTTGCCCTTAGATTTGGAAAGGTCTTTAATGTCTTCTAATCTAAGGGTAGCAAATATATGGGACATATGCTGCCATTCTTCTGGTGTCTCTTTGGTGATCCTAATGTTATACATTCTGTTTTTTAAAAAAAATATATCACTATTAGATACTAATTACCTCTTTTCTTTGGTTTTAAGGTTCAAAACCAGTTAAAGTAATATATATTAATTCACCACTTCCCCAGAAGAAAATGACTTTGAGAGAGAGAAATCATATTTTTCATGAGGTTCCATTAAAATTTATGATGTCCAAAAACACATCTGTTCCAGTCTCTGCAGTCTTCATGGACAAACCCGAAGAGTTTATAGCTGAAATGGATGTATGTAATGCTTTTTTTTTCCTTAGGGGAATGTACTTGTTTATCCTTTTGAAGCATAAAGTTTTACTGCAAATCCCTAAACCTAGTAGCTAAAAATGCAGGCTTTAGATTCCAACTTAAATTGAATTTCAAGTCTAGCTAGATTTTAGGCAACTAACTTAATCTCCCTCAGCCTCAGTTTTCTCTTCTCATACATGAAAAGTAGTAATAACCTACTTGACAAGATTATCATGAGGGTTTTAAGTTTGATATTTCAGGTTAAAGGCTGAGCACAGTTTTTAGTAATGTATGTAGTGAACAGTCAGTGATGGTAGTGAATATGAGGTTTTGTTTCATTGGTCTCATTTGTATTCAGGAATTTTATTTTTTTGAGATGGAGCCTCTCTCTGTCACCCAGGCTGGAGTGCCGTGGCGTGATCTCTGCTCACTGCAACCTCCGCCTCCTGGGTTCAAGTGATGCTCCTGCCTAAGACTCTTGAGTAGCTGAGATTATAGCTGTGCACCACCACACCCAAATAACTTTTTGTATTTTTAGTAGAGGCAAGATTTTCCCATGTTGGCCAGGCTGGTCTCAAACGCCTGACCTCAGGTTATCCACCTGCCTCAGCCACCCAAAGCACTGGGATTACAGGGATAAGCCACTGCACCCAACCCATATCCAAGAGTTTTTAAGTGTGAAAAGGAACAGATGAGTTTAATTCGATTGGTACAGAAGGTATTTGACCAGATTGTTAATCTTCGGTATACTTAGTAGTTATGTGACCTTGAGTAGATTACATAATATCTCTGTGTCTAGTTTGCTTATCTGTAAAATGGGCATCATGATACTACCTCAAAGGATTGTTTAGGTTTAAATGAATTCATACATGTAAAACATTTAGAGTAACACTTGGCATTCTGTAAATATTAGCTTTTATTATTCTGTGTTTTAAAGTATTTTTTCCATGATTTTAAAATACATTGTTTATAGAAAACTTGATTCATTCATTCCATAAGTTTTTAATGAGCAGATACTATTCCATGCAGGGAGGAAGAGGCAGTGGATAAAAACAAAACCTGTTTTCTCTCAGAGCTTACATTAGTGGCAGAGGGCCCAGATACAGGAAAAAAAGCAGGTAATGGTAAATTCTATGGAGAAAAATAGAGTAGGTTAAGGGGAAATAGAGAGATGGGTGGGGAAGGAGTCATTTTATATTCATGATCAAGAAGGCTTTTCTGAGGACAGGAAATGTGAACAGAGACTTGAGTAAAATGAGAAAGCAAACAAAAATTTTAAAATAAAATATAAAAATGCTTTTCTTACACTTAAGAGCTCATATAGTTTTAAGGATGTTAGCCTTTTGTTTTTTATATTTATGGTTTTCTCTTTGCCATTTGCCTTTTAATATTTTTATGATATAGATGTCATAAGGCACTTTTAACTTATGTTTGCTTCTTATACATTTTACTTTTAAAAATCTGCCTAAAACTTATATTGAGGTGAATATCAGGCAGTAACAAGTGGCTGTAAAGAAACATGAGATAGGTTAAGAGGGATAAAAATTGACAATGACTTCTTTCAGTAATGGGTAAGCCAGGTAATTTGGACCCTCCTTTTATTGATGACAACTAAAAAAGCTGGACAAATGTTTAAATGTTTTTCTTAAAAGCATCAAAAAGCTAACAAGATAGTGAGGAATTGTAGGGATGAGTTGCTGAAGAGACAGGAATCCCATAAGGTCAGCCTGTTACTTAGGGTCATTTTTGTGTTGGATTGTATTTGCCAGTTCTGAAGAGGTAAGTAAGAAAATGAACTGTGCTTTTGGCAGCATCACAGTACTGAGGGATAAAAGGAATCAGTTTTCCACTGAGGGCCGAGACCCCAAAGGTGCTGCACCTCAGGAGTCAGGGTGAACCAGAAGTAAAACAGCTTTCTCTGAGATTGTGGCCTGAGTTTTTGGGCCCTGACCTTAGAGTAAAATGCCTTTTCTGGATTGCCAGTGTCTCCAAACACCTAGCAAAAGCAAGTGAAAATAATCCTTACAGGAAGATAATGCATTTTTTAACTTCAAATTATTATACTTCTTAATGTCTATTAGTTTAATTTTTGTTGCTTTGTATTCTGTAATTATTTTGATTTCTGTAGTCCAACAGTTTGGAATGTTTTTAAATTTCCAAGTGCTTGAGCTTATTGTTTGTTTAAATTTTTTAAATGATCTCTGATTTTAGTTCTTCTGAACATAGAGTAAGACTTGATGAGATTCTGCTTTGGTCTGTATTGACATTTTCTTTGTATATTATAGTCGGTTTTTTGAAATGCCCTTTGGATTCTTGGGAAGAGAAAAAGTTTATAGTCTATTTATGTATTTATTTTCAATCTTTTATATATATATTCACATTTTTTAATATTATTCATACCTTCTGTATTCCTTTTTATTTTTTACTTAGAGATAGTATATCATTGACCAAGTATGATTGTGTTTCTGTGAAATTTTTCTTTTATTTTTCAGTTTGACTGTGTATTTTGACATCATTACTTGACATGTCACATTTCATGACCATTATCTATTTATCATGGATTTTCTCTGTTTTCAAACTAGCATTTCTCCCTTATCTATCTAACTTTTTGCCTTGAATTCTTCTTTGTCTAACATATTGCTTTTCTTCCTCTTTTTGTATCTTGATGGCATCTCTTGTTGTTTTGTTTTTAACCTTTTTGTTTAGGAATGCCTCATGTAAGCAGCATATAGTTTAATTTTTCTTTTTTACCAAATTTCGTAGTCTTTTTAGTAGGAATTACCATTCACTAGCCACCGTTCATGGAGAGGCTACTTATTAAGTGCCAGGCACAATGCCAAGAGATTTTCCATGTATAATTTCTCATTTAATCTTTAGAACAAATCCAAGAAGATGCCCTACTTTACCTGTTTTAGAGATGAGTCGGTTGAGGTTCAGAGAGGTTAAGTAACTTAGATGAGTTGATCTTTCTTACTACCTGATGACCGTTGGAATCTTTCTCTTAAATCCTGAACTGTAAGGCTAGTGGATGTACATAACCAATTAGCAAATTTCAATGGTATTTAAAGTGCTCTGTCAAATTGAAGAGAGATCTTCTGGTGCTTATCTCCTTGTGGAGGAGAAAGTGTATTCCTGAATAAATTAAAACTGTGTGTAGTTTCCATTACCAAAACAGTACATGAAAAATAACATTTATGACTTGATGTCTCCGAATACAGTAAATCATCTTGTGTCCATTTCTGCCCCATCTTTATTGCTGAGAGTTGTTTTCCCTGAGTAGTTGTGGAATGAAAGTGACTGGTTGATATTAAGGGTGCACCAGAAGCTGGTAACACTTCTCCGACCGCATTAGAAAGCAGCATCTTCACAGTGGCAGAGGGGCTTTCCTCCTGGTCAGCTAAGACCAGGTGTCTCTGCAGAGTCTACAGAGTAGACATAAATGAAAATCTGCCTCCTTGTTTGGCCCTACATTTCTTCTTTGTGGTCTTGTCCATTTTTTGACTAGTTGAAATTCCTCTTGAAATGTGGTAGTTTGTAAATATTTCATTTCCTGTGCTATTACAACTTGGCAAATTTGCCTTTAACCACAAACTTTTTTTTTTTTTTTTGAGATGGAGTCTTGCCCTTTGGCCTGGGCTGGAATGCAGTGGCACGGTCTCAGCTGACTGCAGCCTCTGCCTCCCAGGTTCAAGTGATTCTCCTGCCTCAGCCTCCCAAGCAGTTGGGATTACAGGCGCCCACCACCATGCCTGGCTAATTTTTTTGTATTTTTAGTAGAGATGCAGTTTCACCATGTTGTCCAGGCTGGTCTCGAACTCCTGACCTTGTGATTCGCCTACCTCAGCCTCCCAAAGTGCTGGGATTACAGGCGTGGCCACTGTGCCCGGCATCACGAACATTTCAGTGGGAAGGTAAGGTTAAATAGTGGGTAGTAGGTTGTTGTCATCTTAAGCAAGAATCTATTACAACCATTAGATTTTCCTTTCTCTTTTAAAAGAACATGAAGTATGTGTGAGAGGGTTAGGCATATTAAGAGATAGGTAGCTTGGCTTGAAATTTTTACTAATACTTTACCCATTTATTTACTTAAGATCTCCTGTGAAGTCAATGAGTGCCGAAAAATTGAGACTCTTGAAAACTCGTATCTGGATTTTGATGATGATGTCACAGAACTTGAAACTTTTGGAGTAACCACCACTAAAGCATCAAAGTCACCAAGTCCAGCAAGTACTTCCACAGTACCTAACATAACAGATGCTCCTACAGCCCCCAAAGCAGCAACTACACCTGTGGCCCCAAGTGCATCAGACATTTCTGCTAATTCTAAAAGTTTATCTCAGATTCTGATGGAACAGTTGCAAAAGGAGAAACAGCTTGTCACTGGTGTGGATGGTGGCCCTGGAGAGTGCAAAAATAAAGATAATCAGGGATTTGAATCACATGGTGAAAAGGTATCAAATTCTGACAAGTCTTTGATGCAAGATAGGGACTTGAAAACATCTGATACCTTACAGTTAGAAAATTCTCAGGAAATTGAAACTTCTAATAAAAATGTTACGACTGTAGATACGGTACATGCTGATGGTGAAAGACCCAGTGTTCTGGAAAACCTAGATACCTCAAAGGAAAAAGCAGTTAGATCCGAAGCAGCTGAAACTGAAGATACAGATCTCTGCAGCAGTGATACAGATGAGGAGTGTTTAATCATTGATACAGAGTGTAAAAATAATAGTGATGGAAAGACAGCTGTTGTGGGTTCTAACTTAAGTTCTAAACCAGCTAGTCCAAATTCTTCCTCAGGACTGGCTTCTGTAGGAAACCAGACAAATACTGCTTGTAGTCCTGAAGAGTCATGTGTTTTAAAAAAACCTATCAAACGAGTATATAAAAAATTTGATCCAGTTGGTGAGATTTTAAAAATGCAGGATGAGCTCTTAAAGCCAATTTCCAGGAGAGTACGCGAATTGCCCTTAATGAATTTAGAAAATTCTAAACAGCCTTCTGTTTCTGCGCAATTGTCTGTTCCTTCAGACGCCTCTAGTTGGCCGAAACCTGGATGGCCTGCATTTCAGAAGCCAAAAGGACGTAAGTAATATTTACAAAGAGCTTACACTGTTTTACTTGTTCTTTTTTCTTCTTTCTTCCCTCATTCTTTTACTTTGTTATAACCTGTTTTGTAATTGTCACACAGTCATTGATATTTCATTTTTTCAATCTATTGATCAGTATTTCTGCTTCCAAATTGTACTCTCTGTTGTGTACACAAAAGTGTATGGGCCTTGTAACTTGTGTTTATCTAACATGAACAATGAATGCTAAGCTATAGGTCATATAGTTTGTCAAACTGATGAAGGGTAAGTGCATCCAGAACAATCGTAAATATTTGATTGATTTAAAATTTATTTATACTTGATGTTGGACGCAGTTTTATGAAATCTGCTCCTCAGCTCTGCCTGGTTAGGAATAACATTACTTTTTAAACTTTTTTTTTTTTTTCTCATATGGTGTGGTGTCTCATGAATTTATACTTTGCCTAGAGTTAGTGAAGGTTAAAAGGAGAAGAACCTTCAAGCATGGATTTCAGCTCTTACTGCAGTTCCAGTAAGAGTAAACAGAAATGGCAATAGTGTGAGGGTCCATTAGGCAGAGAAGTAGATATTTAAAGATGATAGAAGTTTAAAAATAGTTAATTGAATTGTTGTTTCCTCGATTATAATGGGTAAAGAGATAATGTATTTTAAAAATGAGAAACATTATTTTTAAAGGATTACCGTATGAACTTCAGGACTATGTTGAAGATACGTCGGAATACCTAGCTCCTCAGGAGGGAAATTTTGTTTATAAGTTATTTAGCCTGCAAGACCTGTTGTTACTCGTGCGCTGCAGTGTCCAGAGGATAGAGACAAGACCACGTTCTAAAAAACGGAAGAAAATCAGAAGAGTAAGTTGTTACCTAAGAGTTAGATTGTGATCACATAAATAATCAACAAATATTTGACATGCCATTACTATAAAGTTTAAAATGTTGAGCACTCATAGTATCTTCAGGTTGAGTTTTTTTTTTTTTTTTTTTAACTAAAATGCTGAGATCAAGTTAAGTGTTTATATAAAGTAGCCATAAATACTAGTAACATTTATGCATGGAATGTACAGATGGAGCAGCTCCAATCCAAAATCCAGAATGCTCCAAAGTTCAAAAGCTTTTGAGCTCCAGTATGACACCACAAGTGGAAAATTGCACATGTGACCTCATATAATGAATGGGTCACAGTCCAAACTCCAGTCAAAATTTTGTTTGATGCATAAAATTATTTAATCTATTGTATAAGATTACCCTCAGGCTGTATGCATATGGTGTATGGGAAACATAAATGAAATTTGTGTTTAGACTTGAGTCCTGTCCCCAAAATACCTCATTTTGTATATGTAAGTATTTCAAAATCCAGAAAAAAATCCAAAATCTGAAACGCTTCTGGTGCCAAGCATTATAGATAAGGGATACTCCACCTGTATAAACCTTATTAAAAAACTGCATCATCATCTATTACATCTAGATTGGCACATATATTCCTGTTTTCTCTGGGAATTTGGATTTTCATTATTACATGTAAGCTCGAGCTCTTTTCTCTCCTCCTTTGGGGCTCTTTTTGGCCTACTTTAGAAGTCCAAGTAGAACTTGTGAAAGATGGCATTTCACACATATTTAAGGTCTTTCCAGGATTGTTAGACGACCAAGTCTCTTCTTTCTTTTTCTCCCTTTTGTTTCTTTGCTGTTTGATGTAAGTATTTTCCTCAGGAAAAAAAATGTATTGCTGCAATTTGAGTAATTCTTTCTTTCAATAATTTTCTACATTTGAAATTCTCTTTCAAATTTGTTTGCATTTATTTTGTGTGTATCAGTACTGAATTCTGGTAAGTAGAATCGTCTATATTATAATTGAGTATGTAATATTAAAATGTGTTTCCTTTAATTTTTCTTGAGGGTTTTTTCTGTTGTATATATTTTTCATAGTATACATTTTAAAAAAAAGGTTTTGGTGTCTCTGTCTCTTGTTATCTAACCCATTGCCTAGTAAGAATCATCACTGACAACTTTGAAATCGGTATGTTTTGAGATAGGGATCAGGTGAATCCAGACTAGTGATGTTCTAATATTGATCCTTGTGGAATACTTCCTGACTGCTGTATCATATCAAAGAATTACTGGATTTCAAAAAGTATCCAACCTTTTCACAATGCTAGTAACAGCAGTGTGAAGGTTTGACTACTGTGACAAACTCTCAGACTAACTCATCCAGATCCAGGATGTACACTTTGTCCACTCAAATCCAGTAAACTCAGTGGACCTTGTGCTTGATAACATTTTTTTGTTTTGTTAAATAGAAGGAGGATTACAAATAAATTATTAAATTCCTAAATTATTAAACTTCTCATTCACATAATTTAATTTTTATCATTGATTCAAACTCAAAATTTTAGAAACCAAATGGTTTTGAATTAAAACCAACATGATACCACAAGTGGAAAATTCCACACATGACCTCACTTGATGGTTTACAGTCCAAACTCCAGTCAAAATTTTGTTTTATGGTTTCATAAGGTTTATACAGGTGAAGTAGCCCTTATCTCTAAATCCCTTATTTATAAACTAAAACCATTTGGTTTTAGTGCTCCTTACAAGAGAAACTCAAGGAATGCCAGCATTTTGTATTTTGATTGTCTCCTTCTAGATAAATGCTAACATCCTGTGAATTAAAAGATTTTACTTTATCTGCTAATTTTTCTTGCCTCATATATGTTAACTAATAAATTTAATAGCCATAAGCTTGAACATCCTGAATACATACAGTATCAGTCCTATAGATTATATTTTCAAGAGTTTATTTCTTTAATTCTTCCTTGCTTTTTCTTTGATATATTTTAGAACTACCTCATTTCTTTCACTTCCTACTCTGTGAACCCATACCACTTTGTATTTCTTTTTCAGCTTACAGCACTTATAAATTGTTGATGGCCGATATCTCTTAAGTAAGAATAGCCTAGGGAAATTTTGGATACCAGTTTAATTCTTGAACAAGACAGCTTGGTAAGGACATTGTAATTCACTTGACTGAGGTGAAATTTATAAATTTCAAGACATAAAGGAGAAAATTCATTATTGAAATATATCAATAGTCACACCCTAGAGAATATCTAAATAGAAGCCTCATATTTCTGATTGTGTCAAACTCATTAAAATTTTAAAATTTTCAGTGAATGTTTATATTGCCCCTGATAATTATATGTAGTAGTTTAGTACACATGGTTTAAATCTCTAAGTAAAATGTATGCTCCTTGGAGTCATGTCCTATTCATCTCTGTTTCTACAAAACATTTTATCCTATGGAAACTCAATAAATAGGCACTGAGTAAATGAGGAAAATGGAGAGGGATTGGTATTGTTGAGTAAGGGAACTTTAGGGATGTTGAGGCACCAATTTGAAAATGTTGTAAATGGTGCTATTTAAACTAATTAGGTAAAAGTACATCCCTCATTAGTATTTCCTACCTAAAAACCAACTTGCTTAGATAGAGCTTTGAAATACTTAGAAGTCTCTTCAACCTCTGATATCCAAGAACCTCATCTCTTTGTTTTTTCTCATTTCTTCAATTACTTTATTCTAGTTGAGATTTTAGTTTCCAGTGTCATTTATATTGCCTCCCCAAAACTCTGCTTAATAAGAGTTGCGCTTTAAAGAAGAACTTAAAACATCAGCCAGTTTCAAATGATGGAATAAAATAAAGAGGCTAGGTGCTGTGGCTCACACCTGTAATCCCAGCAATTTCAGAGGCCGAGGCGGGTGGATCACCTGAGATCAGGAATTCGAGACCAGCCTGGCCAAAGAGGTGAAACTCCATCTCTACTAAAAAAAATACAAAACTTAACCAGGCATGGTTGCATGCCGATAATCCCAGCTGCTCGGGAGACTGAGGCAGGAGAATCACTTGAAACTGGAAGGCTGAGCTTGCCGTGAGCTGAGATTGTGCCATTGTACTCCCGCCTGGACAACAAGAGCGAAATTCCATCTCACAAAAGTAATAAAGAGGCTAATTTGGACCACAAGATAAAATGGAATCAGTGCTAAATTAAATAAATGATTACAAAATCCATACCCAGGAACTTTGGATAATTTCATAATATGTATTATTATTTGTCTCAGTTAACCAAGTATCCTGAGTACCTTATGTGAAAAATTGGAAGAGAACCAAGGAAAACTTTTACTTGGAGAGCCACTTATCAAGGGAAGAAAATAGTAAATTTTATAGAATGAAAATTTTGATTTTCCTTAAATTTTTAATTCAATTTTGGGACACTAAGGAAAGATGAAATGTTCAGGCCTCTTTTTCCCCCCGCTTCCTGGAGATGGCAGTAGAGTACATATAGAAATTAAAACTGGTTTTAGGACTTGGTTTTATAGATAGGGTAGTATTATCTAAGAAAATCTCCCGAAGTATTTGCTTTTCAGAAATGATATTTATTTTTAAATTTTAAAAAATATATGGAATTAACTGTTTCCCATTTCTGGTCCAGAATTGTGATCCTTTTTCTCAGTCAACTTTTTTCTCAACTTTGCTGTAAACTAGCTATGGGTCCTTGGGCAAATTTCATTCATTCTTTTTTCTAGAGAGACAAGAGTCCTGCTCTATTGCTCAGAAAGGAGTGCAGTAGCATGGTCATAGCTTACTGCCTCCTTGAACTTACGGGCTCAGCTGATCCTTCCACCTCAGCCTCCTGAGTAGCTAGGATTATAGGTATGTGCCACCATGCCTAGCTAGTTTTTTTTTTTTTTTTTAATTTGCTGTAGAGGCAGGGTCTTGCTATTTTTGTCCAGGCTAGTCCTGAACTCCTAACCTTAAGTAATTTTCCCACAGCCTCCCAGAGTGCTAGGATTACAGGCCTTAGCCACTGCCCCCAGTCTGAGCAAATTTCTTAACCTTCTGGGCCTTCATTTGTTTATCCCAACCTCCTATTTGCTCTAAAATTATGAAGAGACTAAATCATATGCAGATAACCATTTGCTAAAGAATTACACTGTAAAATGCTTTGAATGATAAAATTATCCTAATCACATTTAATTTTGTTTTAATTGAGAAGACACTAGAGGCCTAACTAAATTATGGTTCCTGGAACAATAGCTTGTTAGTAATATAAAACCTTGGGCTTTACCCCAGATTCTACATTTTATCAAGATCACCGGATTTCTTACATGTAGTTCAAAGGCAATCATGTGAAACACTGTTGATAACAAAAATAGTGGATTTGAATTGTTCTTAACACCACCATTGTGCCAAGCCCACTCTGCTACTTTGTGAAAATCAAGAATTAAGAAATACTGATGAAATATTTTTAAATCTATAAATGGTGACACCTTAGTATAATTTCAGAAATACTAGTTAGCTTTATCAGTGCAAGTAAGTACTTAAATCGTGTGTTTCTTTTTTGGCAAATGGAAATAGACTCCTGTTGAGAGTAGAGTTTTCTTTGAAAGTATGAGATAGCATAAGCACAGTGAACAACATGTATTTCTTTGCATATGCTCCCTTAGACTAGTAATAGGTACTGGTCTAAATTACTTATGTAGTGTGCTGACCAGTGACCTTGGATGGATAATTTGTCAGCTACTTCATGTCTGAAATAAAGCCTTTGATCATGAGAAACACAGGTGTTAATATAGGCATTAGTGCCCATTGCAGACTGAAACAAGCTGCTCAGAGTATTTGAGTCTGAGACAATGTGACTCATGCTTTAAAGGAGCAAAAGATTTCTACCTTTTTTATCCTCTTGAAAATGACTATTAGATAAAGAAGTCAGTGCTTCCCAGCATCTAGCTTTGAGCCTTTGGGCGACTAACTATGTATGATAGGCACTGTTCCAAGGATTCATTCAGGAAATGCTGTCATTCACATTCCCTCACAGAAATCAGATGCTGCCTGTGTGGGGAGTTGTGTTGATTTTGTTCAGAAATGGATATGGTAGGGAGGGATCGCTTATTCGTTCACCTTTTGCCACCAGACATTCTTCTATCCATCAGGCCTGAATGTATCCATCTTACTGTCTGAATCCTTCTGTAATTAAAAGGATGAAATAAGATTACCTGAAAGCACTTTGAAAGTGCCAAAGCTGTATAGGCAAATGTATTTACTATTAATAATAAATGAGTGGAGCTTTGAAAACATATAATCTTGCATTGCAGCAATTTCCAGTTTATGTACTGCCAAAAGTAGAGTATCAGGCTTGTTACGGAGTTGAAGCTCTGACTGAAAGTGAACTTTGTCGCTTATGGACTGAAAGTTTATTGCATTCCAACAGCTCATTCTATGTTGGTAAGTTATACAAAAGTCTTTATTCTCCTTTATAATTTCCTTGTACAACATACTTGTAAATTCAATTGTGAATACTTCTATTCTGTACTTTTTTACTTTAATTTTTATGTATGTATGTATTTATGTATTTTTAGACAGGGTCTCACTGTTGCCCAGGCTAGAATATAGTCATGTGATCATAGCTCACTGTAACTTCGAACTCCTGGCCTCAAGTGATCTTCCCACCTCAGCCTTCCCGTAGCTGGGGCTGCAGGCATGTGTTGCCATTCCCAGCTGATTTTTTGGTTTTTTCTTAAGATGGGGGTCTCATGTTGCCTAGACTGCTCTTGAACTTCTGGCCTCAAGCAATCCTCCTGCCTTAGCCTCCAAAAGCTCTAGGATTACAGGGATGACCTACCGTGCTGACCTATTTTAAAAACACTTGTTTAATAGTATAATCAAAAATACGTATTTGTTTTCTAAAACAAGCTTCTTTTAAGAGTACTATTTAATTGGTTATTTATTCATCTATAAGTTTATTTTGAAATTTTTGTATAATGACACTACTTTTTTTTTTTTTTTTTTTTTTTTTTTGAGACGGAGTTTCGCTCTTGTTACCCAGGCTGGAGTGCAATGGCGCGATCTCGGCTCACCGCAACCTCCGCCTCCTGGGTTCAGGCAGTTCTCCTGCCTCAGCCTCCTGAGTAGCTGGGATTACAGGCATGCGCCACCCTGCCCAGCTAATTTTTTGTATTTTTAGTAGAGACGGGGTTTCACCATGTTGACCAGGATGGTCTCGATCTCTTGACCTCGTGATCCACCCGCTTCGGCCTCCCAAAGTGCTGGGATTACAGGCTTGAGCCACCGCGCCCGGCTGACACTACTTTTAAAACCTCAAATATTTTGATGAAATGACTCCCCCCCCAACTTTTTTTTTTTTTTTTTAAATTTTGTGAGGGCATAGGGATTAGTCTGGAGTTTAGTTTGCATTGGCTCAGTTCATGTATCGTTAACATCCTCACATAATAGATTACTTGCTAGTCGTTACTGGTATTATTTCCTCCACGGGAATGTCTCATATCAAACATCTCAATGCATTCCATACATCTCTGTCCCTCCTGATCATCTCAGACTGCTCTTCCGCATAGTCTTTTTCATTCTATGACCTCTCAGCGCAGTCTTTTACTTCTCTGTGACTTGTTACTTTGTACTTTATTGTTCTCTCTTAACACCTATCCCTTCTTCCTGTTAGACAATAAACAGCTTAAGGTCAGACTCTGATAAAATTCTGTATTGAGCCTAATAAAATTCTGTGTTATTATAGTGCTTAGCATGGTTCCTTGTATGTAATAAATCCTGTGAGGGTGTTTTTCTTGCTTAAAGAAAGGTTATTCACTTAATATTTTTTTCCTGTTTTGGTTAATCAGTATTTTGTTTTCGTATTTTATGAGAGTATTAGATAATTGATTTATTCTTTCTGCTTAACTCAAAAAGGGAACTAGCTCAATGCACTGATTGGTAGTATACTGCCTCCTTCCTCCCTCTTCAACACATACTAGAAGTTTTTGTAGTAGTTTTCAGTCTGTAACCAGAATTTCCAGTGTTCCTCCAAAAGACCTCATACCAGCAATCTCAACATTTGCTACTTGAAAGGAGTTTGCCCCCCACATCCATTTTAGAAGAGGACCGAGTAAGACCTTGTGAGTGAGATTTCAAGTACTGACAGAGAATGGAGATTCATGGGAAAAAAAATTTTTGAGATTTGAGTTTTTTAAGTGTACAGTTTAACATCAGCTATCTGGATTACTTCTTCTTATTTTTAAAAATCCTAAGTAATCATTGCCCTGTGTACTGATTATTCTCTGTGAATCCTATCCACTTGTGAGCCTTTCATTTCAATATACAGAGGTAGTGTTTTTGGTTTCTGTGATAAGTGTTTGGTGAAAAACATATATTAATTGTCTGGTTGTAGGATTTTGGTTTGCTTTGTTTTTTTTTTTTTGTTTTTTTTTGGTATGGTTATGGGGGGATATGTTTTAAAATGCTATTTTAGAAGTGTCTGTGAGCTTTTGAATTTTTAAAAAAGTTTTTTAATATAAGAAAGTTGTTGAAGAAAATCACTTGAAAGGCTTGTAAAAGTGGAGATTGCTGGCCCCTACCCTGGAGTGACTTGATTCACTAGGTCTACATTGGGACCTGAGACTTTCTCAGGTGGTGCTGATGCTGCTTGTTTCGGGACCACGCTTGGAACATCAGTTCTGTAACTTATAGTCCCTTTTTCAAGTAGAGTAAACACACTTGTGATTTGTTTGTTTGCTTTGCTATAAACACGTTCCCATCTTTCCCTAGTTGAAGTACTCTATCTTTTCCCCATAAAAACTTTTAAGATTTACTTCTTTAGGACAAGTTCCCACATAGTCTCAACACAACTTCTGTATCCACCCTCTAATCCCATAATATTGATGAGTTTTATATAGTTGACATACAGGCAGTCGTCATTTAGTACACAGTTTCAATAAGCAAAAGTTTTAATTACGACATATATTAACAGTGTGTCATTACATAAAGTATAAGCTTCATTGCTGGCCTTTCAGTCTACAAATCACAGTAAATAATAGGCATATCATGATCAGAGACCAGTTATGTCACTTCTTTCAAAGTCTGTTTATAATTGGTTATTGTGTACCTGTTGAGCTCAGGCACAGAAAGCAACGTGTGCAGTTGTGTTGACTCTTTGTCTACCAGTGATAAACCCGTGTGATGTGTTACAAAAGTAGATAATCAGAAGAGAGAATTGGCCAACAAATATCAAAGCAAAGAAAGAAAAGGTGATACTGCCAGAAGTGAAACTTAAATGGAACATAAATGGAATTAGAGAAAATACAAGATAGTGGGAATGTTGGCTCTGCCGTTGTTCTAGAGACTAGATTTGCTGCCAGACGAAGTTAGTGAAAGGGAACTTATAAATGAAGAAGAAAGTGGTTGTGACATAAAGGAAGAACAAGTGACACTGGCATAAGATTTTACACTAGGCCGGGCGCGGTGGCTCAAGCCTGTAATCCCAGCACTTTGGGAGGCCGAGGCGGGTGGATCACGAGGTCAAGAGATCGAGATCATCCTGGTCAACATGGCGAAACCCCGTCTCTACTAAAAATACAAAAAATTAGCTGGGCGTGGTGGCGCGTGCCTGTAATCCCAGCTACTCAGGAGCCTGAGGCAGGAGAACTGCCTGAACCCAGGAGGCGGAGGTTGCGGTGAGCCGAGATCGCGCCATTGCACTCCAGCCTGGGTAACAAGAGCGAAACTCCGTCTCAAAAAAAAAAAAAAAAAAGATTTTACACTAAATGAACTCCTGAAGATGTTTCATGACATTGAAGGCACAAAGGATAGAGTTTTGGTTGCTGATCCTAACTCAGAAAGGAATGTTAACGGTTCGCCATGGCGTAGAAATGATGCATCAGGCCAGATGCGGTGGCTTATTCTTGTAATCCCAGCACTTTGGAAGACCAAGGTGGGTGGATCATTTGATGTCAGGGATTAAAGACCATCCTGGCTAACATGATGAAACCCTGTCTTCACTGAAAATACAAAAAATTAGCCGGACGTCAGTCATGTGCGTCTATAATCCCAGCTACTTGGGAGACTGAGGCAGGAGAATCGCTTGAGCCTGGGAGATGGGGGTTGTGGTGAGCTGAGATCGTGCCAGTGCACTGCAGTCTGGGTGACAGAGTGAGACCCTGTCTCAAAAAAAAAGAAAAGAAAGAAGATGCATCCTTCCTGTCACAAGTTCTGCAAGAAGGTAGCAAGCAAAAACTATTCAAACTGCTCTTGATTAATGTTTCATAAAGAAATAAAACCCTTTAATGTTTTGAATTAGTGTACTAAAATATTTTACTGTTCTGTTCATTTTCCTATACATTTATGATTGATAGAGAATTCATAGTGTTTTGACAAAAGATTTAAATGTAACGGAACAGTTGTAATTTTCCTCGTTGATTATTAAAATGGTAGAGTTTCAGCCTGTGGTCATTTTTATGGTCCCACAGTGCATGCAAAGCTAGGAGTACCTATACACATGAATATATGTGTATGCATGTATATGTCTATGTGCATATATGTGTGAATGAATGTATGTATATAAAGGTTTCATTTTCATTATGTGTATATTTTATTTGTAGTCTATAAAGCAGTGCTTTGCAACCTTGATGCGCATAAATATTTGTATGGTATACTGTAATATATAAGAGAAATTGCTCGTGGCTGAAAGGTAGCAGCCAGGAAGCTTTTCCCATCCCAAGCATTGCTTAGGTGTCTGAAGGGCTGAGGTGGTGATTATCTTAAGCACACATATATCTTATTTGAGACCTAAAGGTTAGAAGACTCCAGTGTTGAGAGTTGTGAACTCCTCGAGGAGGTAGATCCTCATAGCACTTAGTGTGGTATTATTCTCTGTATGGTTATTTTTGACAGACAGTATTTGTCATGTACCGTAAAACATACTTTTTAAAATGAATTGCTTTCAATAGGTAAGAGCTATTAGTTTTCCCAAAGACATAATCAGAAAACATCTAAAAGTTACTATGCTTAATACTCCCTTTCTGTGGTTATTAAATCCTTACGATGTGTCTTTCTTATTAGAAATGCCACTGTGTAATAAGTGTTATATATTATAAGTGCAGAGGTAAAACCTGGCATAAGAAATAAGTAGGTGTGTGGACAAACGAATTTGTTGTCATAGAAGGAAGGCATCTGGTAAAAATGTTTCTGTTTTTGTGAGCATAAAGCAAATGAAATGAAAGCGGACTTCGTAAGGAAATGAAAGATTAAATTATGTGCATTTTTAATTGTCCCAGTGATTGACATCAGCTTTCCAGGTAATTTGTTTTGATACCTAAACAATAAGAGTTAAAAAAAAAATTGTATTTTCAACATTGATACGTATTATATTCTCATCATGCTAGTTGATAGGTTTTTTTTGTTTTTTTTTTTGTTTTGTTTTTTGAGACGGAGTTTTGCTCTTGTTACCCAGGCTGGAGTGCAATGGCGCGATCTCGGCTCACCGCAACCTCCGCCTCCTGGGTTCAGGCAATTCTCCTGCCTCAGCCTCCTAAGTAGCTGGGATTACAGGCATGTGCCACCATGCCCAGCTGATTTTTTGTATTTTTAGTAGAGACAGGGTTTCACCTAGTTGATGTTTTTAACTATGGTACAATACATATGATTTTTGTCTTGACTTGATTATATAATACTTAACCCAGGACTATCTTTTATGTCACTTTTCATTGTTATATTTCAGGACCTTAGTATTAGCTCTCAGTCTGTTTTGTTTTAGAACATACGCATTACTTTTTAAAACAAAAGCATCATATTAAGAATTTGCTGTTTTGTTTTTTGGAATTCTAGATTCATACTGTGTTTGCTAAAAAAAAGTAGGACTTGGGGCCAGGCGTGGTCACTCACAGCTGTAATCTGAGCAGTTTGGGAGTCCAAGGCAGGCAGATTGCTTGAGGCCAAGAGTTCGAGACCAGCCTGGCCAGCATAATGAAACTCCATCTCTACCAAAAATCCAAAAAAAGAGCTGGGAGTCATGGTGCACAAACTGTAGTGCCAGCTAGTCAGGAGGCTGAGGCACAAGAATAGTTTGAACCCAGAAGGCCAAGGTTGCAGTGAGCCTAGCTTGCGCCACTGCACTATAGCCCAGGTAACACAGCAAGACTCTATCTCAAAAAAAAAAAAAAAGAAAGAAAGAAAAAGAAAAAGAAAAGAGAAAGAGAAAGTAAGACGGGCCAGGCATAGTGGCTGAAGCCTGTAATCCCAGCACTTTGGGAAGCTGAGGCAGGTGGATCACCTAGCTCAGGAGTTTGAGATCAGCCTTGCCAACATGGTGAAACCCAGTCTCTGTGTAAAAACACATAAAAATTGGCCAGATGTGGTGGCAGGCACCTGTAGCTCCTGGGCAGGCTGAGGCAGGAGAATTCTTAAACCCAGGAGATGGAAGTTGCAGTGTGCCAAGATCGTGAGATTGCATTTAGCCTGGACAACAAGAGTGAAAATTTGTCTCAAAAAAAAAAAAAGACTTCAAACATACTGCTTTGATTTTTTTTTTTTTTTTTAGCAGTGGGAAATCTTATGGTATGCTTTAATTTAAAATATTAGGCCAGATTTTTGTAATATGATTTTTATTAAAAGAACCAAGTGTCTTAGAAAGCCCCAGGTTATACATGTGATTTTATCTGCCTGTTTTGATAATAGGTATGTATTTCTCCTCACAAACACCATAAAAATGTAACTTTAGTAGGAATTAGAAACACTAATACTTTGACAGTTGTTCATAAATTGTAGGCTTTGAAATGATTTTGTATGTGTGTACATGTGTAAACTTTTATATATATTCAGCAGATATTTTAGAATGAATATATTTTATAATCTGAATTGTGTCATTTTAAAATACAGCTTTGCCTAAAACTGAATAAAACATGTATTTCTCCTTTTAAAATGCAGAATTTCTTTACAGTCATTAAAATTTGTGAAAGCATTTTTAAGGAGACAGGAGAACTTGGTTTTTTGTTTTCTAAATACTGCAATTGATTATTCTTTTAAAATTTGATATTTAATTTTAGGGCATATCGATGCATTTACTTCAAAGCTTTTTCTACTGGAAGAAATTACTTCAGAAGAATTAAAAGAAAAGCTTTCAGCACTCAAGTAAGAAAATTTACTTTGTGGTGAGAATTGAAAAACTTGTTAATGTGATCATTAATTTTCCTTTATCTCTAAATACTGGTTAAGCTTAAATTGCTTTGAAGACTTTTAATCCTTTTATGTATAGAGGTCTTATTGAACCCAGTTTTGATTTCTCTTGTTTTTGTATTTTGTTATTTTGAGACAATCTGATTTTGTCACCTAGGCTGGAGTGCAGTGAGTGGTGTGATCTCGGCTCACTGCAACATCTGCCTGTCTGGTTCAAGGGATCCTCCCACCTCAGCCTCCTGAGTAGGGACTACAACCGTGCACCACCATACCCAGCTCATTTTTGTATTTTTTTGTAACTATGGGATTTCCCCATGTTGCCTGGGCTGGTCTCAAACTCCTGAACTCAAGTAATGTGCCTGCCTTAGCCTCCCAAAATGCTGGGATTACAGGCATAAGCCACCATGCCTGGCCAGCAGTATGTTTTGTTTTGTTTTTGTTTGTTTATTGATATATTTATAAGAGTTATACATGTTTTGGGGATACATGTGATACTTTAATACCCATATATGATGTATAATAATCAAATCAAGGTAATTGGAATATCCTTCACCTTAAACATTTATCTTTGTGTTAGGAACAGTACAATTCTTCTAGGTATTTTAACATACACAGTAAATTATTATGAACTACGATTTCCCTGCTATACTATTGAATATTAGAAGTTAGTTCTCTTGTTTAGCACCTTAACCTTCTTCTCATTCCCCCACCTGTTTCCTTCCCAGTCATTTGTAACTATTCTTCTGTACCTCCATGAGATCTACTTTTTTAGCTTCTACATAGGATTGACAGTGTGCAGTATTTGTCTTTCTGTGCCTGGCTTATTTAACTTAATATAATGACTCCCAGTTCTATTCATGACGCAAATAACAGAAATTTGTTTCTTTTATGGCTGAATATATTCCATTATGTTTGGGGGTTGGAGGTGTGGGGGTGGGGGTGTGTTTGTCACGTCTTTATTCATTCATCCATTGGTGGAGCCCAGACTCAATTTGTGATTTGTTTATATTATCTCCGTCTCCAAATTCAGTATAATGCCAGTAGCACCAGCCTTTCTATGTAAGACAAGGGATGCTAGAGCCAAAGTAGCCACCATGCATGGGAAGCAAACATTTTACTCCATTATAGGTAAGGGAAAGAATAGTATAGTCTAACTTCTCAAAGTTTGCCCTTCTACCAAGTAGTATTATACAGGTGACTGAAATGAATTTTTTGTACTCAGAACTCTAAATGTCTAAATGCAAAGGAGAATCTCTTGAGTATTATCTCATTTGCATCTCACAGCTTCCTAGGAAAGGCTGGTAGTAGTGTGATGTCCATTTTATATATGAGGAAATATTCGAGTGGTATACATCAGAGCACAAGGCTAAGTTGGTTATAGCCTTGGAAGTTAATATGTTTGATTCCTACTTAGGATGGGAAAGGATTCTGAATTCTACTAGCTGCATAATTTCAGCTTTCCCAGGCTTAACATAGTATTTTAAGGGTCCCAGATCCAAAGCTGAACTCTCCACTTATACTTCACTGCGTCTGCTTGTATTACAAGAACTGCTTTTCTTGAACAGTAACTTTGTTTTTTTACAAATGTGAATAGAAAAGCTTTTCCATACCTTACTCTCCACCTGCCTTACTTTTCCCAGTGAAAACCATTTTTTATAAAAACAAGGAGGTCAGGCACAGTGGCTCATGCGTATCCGAGCACTTTGGGAGGCTGTGGCGGGCAGATCACTTGAAGTCAAGAGTTCAAGACCAGCCTGGCCAAAATGGCGAAAACCCATCTGTACTAAACATACTAGCCAGGTGTGGTGGTAGGCACCTATAATTCCAGCTACTTGGGTGGTTGAGGCAGGAGAATCACTTGAATCCAGGAAGCAGAGGTTGTAGTAAGCTGAGATCATGCCATTGCACTCCAGCCTGGCCACAGAGATCTCAAAAAAAAAAAAAGAGAATGACTTTAGGTCTAGAAGAATTACTAAAGAAATGTTTAAAATAATATCTGTATTTTATTTCCCATTAGCTATCCTGTCCTGTGTTAGGGGCTTCTCTGTCATCACAGGTTTAACAGACCAATTTTTTTTTGGAAGCTAATTCACCGCCGCCTCTAAAAGACAAACTCTTTTGCATATTGGCTCTACTAAAGACCTCTTAGCATTTTTTTAAAGTATATAATATGAACATGTAGTAGTGATCTCTTTACCACTGCTCTGACTGACAAAAAGCCAAATATGATAATGAAAGGAAATTGTGAAATGGCAAAAATTGGCTGGACACCGTGGCTCACGCCTGTAATCCAAGCACTTTGGGAGGCCAAGGCAGGTGAATCACCTGAGGTCAGGGGTTTGAGACCAGCCATGCCAACATGGTGAAACCCCGTCTCTATTAAAAATACAAAAAAATCAGCTGGTCATGGTCGCATGTGCCTATAGTCCCAGCTACTTGAAAGGCTGAGGCAGGAGAATCACTTGAACCTAGGAGGTGGAGGTTACAGTGAGCGGAGATCCCCACCACTGCACTCCAGCCCAGGTAACAGACAGAGCAGGACTCTGTCTCAAAAAAAAAAAAAAAGGAAAGAAAGGAAATGGCAAAAACTAAGTAAAATTATAATGTAATTTATATAGAAATAGGTTTCAGTGTTCTTTGTTTTACATTATGTCATCTGTTTTTGTTGTTGTTATCGAGAGCATTTTTCAGCCTGAGGAGCTGTAATTGCTACAAGTAAGTTTCCTACAGTTTAATTTCACATGAATTTCTTTTGTTTATTAGGATTTCCAATTTATTTAACATCCTTCAACACGTTCTAAAGAAATTAAGTAGGTAAGTATTTTTTAGGCATTTTTCTTTGGTAGATCTGATTTTCTTAGATGAAAATTCTTAGAAACTTTGAAAATATGCTGTTAGGAATAGAGAGAAAATAACCTAGAAATGCAAAAATTACTCTGTCAGATAAGAAAATTTATATTGTAAAAATATAAAACAAAATATTCTAAAATTATAAATACCATAGTATCTGGCTTTAATGAGCTTACAATTACATTTTCCTGTCAGTCTATTATTGTATGAATTTTCTGTTGCACCTATAACCCATTGCCACTAACTTGGTGACTTACAGCACAAATTTATTCTTTTTGGTTCTGGAGGTCAGGAATCCAAAATCAGTTTTACTGGGTAAAAGTCCAGGTGTCAGCGGGTCCTTTCTGGAGTCTGAAGAAAGAATCATTTCTTTACGTTTTTCAGTTTCTAGTGACCACCTGTATTCCTTGACTTGTGGGTCTTTCCTCCATTGTCAGGGCATGTCACTCAGATATCTGCCTCCTCGTCACATTGCCTTCTCCCCTTTTGTGGTAAAATCTTCCTCTGCCTACCTTTTATAAGGTCCCTGGTGATTACTTTTGGCCTGCTCACATAATTTAGGATAATCCCCTCATCTCAAAATTCTTAATTTAATCACATTTGCAGAACCATTAAATGTAATATAGTCACAGGTTCTGGAGATTAGGATATGGACATCATGGGGGGACCATTATTCAGCCTACCATAGCTATATTATTTTCACTTTCAGGATAAAGAAAAACACAGAGCTGGCCGGGCGCGGTAGCTCACACTTGTAATCCCAGCACTTTGGGAGGCCGAGGCGGGTGGATCACGATATCAGGAGTTCGAGACCAGCCTGACCAACATGTAGAAACCCCGTCTTCCCTAAAAATACAAAAATTAGCTGGGCATGGTGGTGTGTGCCTATAATCTCAGCTATTCAGGAGGCTGAGGGAGGAGAATTGCTTTAATCCCAGAGGCAGTGTTGCGGTGAGCCAAGATCACGTCACTGCAGTCCAGCCTGGGCAACAGAGCGAGATTCTGTCTCAAAAGAAAAAGAAAAGAAAAAGAAAGAACATAGAGCTAAATGAACAGTCATTTAGGTCCATTGCAAGTCTTAGAATATAGATCAAGGTATTTCCCCTTGATCATTTATCAAACTGTTTTGTTATATGAATGTTTGCATTCCTTATCTTCTGCCCTTACTGAAGGATAAACTTGAAAACAACTTGAATCTGAACTTAAGGTCGCAATCTCAAAGTCCTAGTTCTGAAGAACTCTATTGTACCACTTGATGTCAGTTTTCTTATTTGTAAAATGATGGTGTCAAGTGCAATAATTTCCTAGGGACTTTTCAGTTCTTATCTCTGATGATGTCACAGGATTTTTATTTCATGTGTTCTCTTCTGCATGTTACATACAATGCTTATGCATGAAATTTGCCAGATGAGTTTTGAAATTTTATTATCAATGTGTTATTTAGTTTGTGTATTAGCTTTATATTATGGCTATAACAAATCACCACAAAGTTAGTGTCATAAATCAACACAGATTTATTGCTTTGCAGTTCTCAAGTCAGAGGTCTAACAGGGCTTACTGGGTTAAAATCAGGGCATTTGCAAACTGCATTCCTTTCTGTAGACTCTGGGAAGATCTGTTCCTTGCCTTTTGTATCTTCTAGAGGCCACCTGCATTCCTTTTCCTTGGCTTGTAGCTCTGTTCCTCAATCTTCAAAGTTACAAAGGCAAGTTGAGTCGTTCTCACATCACATCTCTCTGAACTTGCACAGTCACATCTCCCTCTGAGTCTCTTCTGCCTTCTCCTTCCATTTTTAAGTGCTCTTGTGATTACAGTGGATAATCTCGTAAAATCTGACCATTTTAAAGTCAATTGATTAGCAACCTTAATTCCATCTGCTACCCTAATTTATTTTTGCCATGTAACATATTTGTAGGTTCTGAGTTTGGAACATAAACATTTTTAGGAGGCCATTATTCCGCCTACCATTGTTTATATTTATCCATGTACATTAGACGTGTACAGCACTTAATAAGATACTCTTTCTTAGAGTATCTTTCATTTTCCATGAATTAAATATTAATATATTATTGTGTAAACCAAAGCTTTCTTCATTTTTAGTGGAAGTATTTAAGATACATGATTTTCATTGATTAAAGCTCAATCTTTGAAATGTTATTCCTACTATCAAATAATTTATTATTCATTTCTTTATATGGAAATATGAAAGTGATTGGGGAAAAATTCAGAGGATACAAGTAATTGTCTAACACCTATTTTCAGTTTAAAAATTAAAGAAATTTAAAATTAATTTAAAATTTAAAAAATCTAATTTACTAGATTTATAGGCAAATCTGTGTACCTAAGTATGATAAATCTTTATTCTTTAATATATTGTGGGAAAGAACAGTGTTCTCCGTAACATCGTTGATCCAGAGGATTGTGTATCCCCAAGAAAGCACAATATATTTATTCATATCCCTTTGGTTCTTTATGATGATACACTGAAATATTTAAAGCTTTCTAAGGAGAAAAGGAAAATGTGGACTTGATGTTTAACATAGCTGGTTGTTGGTATAGTAGAGGATCGTGATTAAGGGTGTGGCCTGTGGAGTTCAAATGTCTGGGTTTATATCTAAGCCTACACTTAGAACATTGGGCAAATTGCTTAGCATCTCTAACTTGTTTGTTTATCACCTTAAATTAATAGGCCTTGAAGGTTTATTGTGGAAGATCTAATGAGAAAATCGATGTGAAGTCATACTATAGTAGTTAGCTCATAATAAACATTCTGTACCTGCTAGCTGCTATTGCTTCTGTTATCCTCATAGCACCTCGTGTTGTATTATGTATGTTTACATTGACTCTTTCTTCCGCTTTATTTTAAACTACTCAGTGCAGCAACATGTCACCTTCACTTTTGTATCTAGTCCATCTATCTATTATTGGATACAAAGTAGTTTCAGTGTTAAATGAATGAAAATGCTGTAGGAATGCTTTTCAGTGTAGATATCTATAAATATCTAATCCATGGATTAGAGAATTAGGCACACTATTTGTTGCCCATTAAATGAAAACTTACAAATTGATATAAAAGTAAAAAGGAAATGATCAACTATTCTGAACTTTGGAATAAGAATTAAAATTAGTTGCCTAAAAAGCATAAAATTAATTTTAAAGATTTCTTAAATCTTATTTTGTCATAAAAGTTTTTTTAGGGGTGGTGTGATCTTCACATAAGTTTCAATTTTACTAATGGATTATGATTAAGAAAGTGCTGTTGAAATTGACATGGTGAGCCACTGGTTGAGTTTCATTGTGTGGATTTAGCTTGCAGGAGGGTTCCTACTTGTTATCTCATGCAGCAGAAGATTCTTCACTCCTGATCTATAAGGCCTCTGATGGAACATTTACTAGGACGGCATACAATTTGTATAAAACACATTGTGGTCTTCCTGGTATACCTTCCAGTCTGTCAGTTCCCTGGGTTCCATTAGATCCCAGCCTGTTATTACCATATCATATCCATCATGGAAGAATACCTTGTACTTTTCCACCTAAATCACTGGATACCACAACACAACAAAAGGTAAGATCTTTTTTGAAGTTAAAAGTTTCATTAGGTTGTTTATTATTTATCTATTTCACTGACTATACTATGTTTCAACCTGATGTTCTCATTGCCATATTAATCACAGCACCAATCTAAAAGCAACGTCCGTAGGAAAGGTAAAGTTGTACACTGTACTGAGTCCAGTCTTCATGGTAGTTGAACTTTTTATTTTTGTAAGATTTTTAAGTCCAATAAAAAAGACTCTCTTAGCTTGAACAGTAGGTATATGGGTAAGGCATCCACATAGTTGAATCCTTATATTCCTATGAAAACCAAAGTGGTGGATATTTTTGTAATTTTTGTTTATGTATACTGGGTTTCATTTCATTAAGCATTCCAGGCAATTTGCAGAAGAGCACATGTAATAAAATTACGATATAATTAAACATTGTTAATTTGGATGAGGTAAAAGAAGTATTAGTAGTTTGTTAAAATACAGCTAAAGTATTAAGGACCTAAATTGTGTTTTGCTAAGTAGGATGTAACTTAGTACTTACTGAATTACAATAAATATTACTCTCTTTATAGAATTTTTACCAGAAATAGCAGTTGAATGACATTATCTGAAACTTATAAAGCCATAGCTAGAGATAGTCTCTACTATGTCACTCATTCTGTGTATTGTGTAAGAAATTCCAATTTGAGTTTAGTTTTAAGAAAAGTTTTGCTCTTGAGTGGGTGCGGTGGCTTACGCCTGTAATCCCTGTACTTTGAGAGGCCAGGGCAGGTGGATCACTTGAGCTCAGGAGTTTGAGACCAGCCTGGCCAACGTGGTGAAATCCCATCTCTGCCAAAAATAAAAAAATTAGCTGGGCGTTGTGGTGAGACGCTTGTAATCCTAGCTACTTGAAAGGCTGAAGCAGGAGAATGGCTTGAACCTGGGAGGTAGAGGTCGCAGTGAGCCAAGATCACTCCACTGCCCTCTAGCCTGGGTGACAGAGTGAGACTCTGTCTCAAAAAAGAAAAGAAAAATAGTTTGGCTTTCTACAAATGATTCTGAATGTGTTCAAGAGACAATCTAGTGTATTTTCCTTACGTACTGCCAAAAGTCTTTGAGTCAAAATTGTCTGAGTTACTATCTTTTCATTATGGTTGCCCCAGAGCATCTATCGCTTGTGTATTCTTCCTTTTTACTGTCTGTATTATGCTGAATTAATTTGTAAATGTCCTCAGATCCTTGTGAGAAATAGTTGGAATGCAAATACTGAGGATTTTTAAATAATTTAAAGTAAACAGAGTTGTTTGTTTATGTCTCTTAGTTCTCCACCCTAAGTTACTGTTTGGGAGTATCCTTGTACATTCCTACTTAGCTTTGGCCAAGAAAGTATAAATGTTAACAAGTTGGGACAAGTGAAAGAATGGAGAAAGTTACTTGTGAGCATTTTAAGCTATTTTATCTACAGTTTTGGTTGTCTGTTTCCAGTTTAATATAAGTAGCCATTTTTATAACCTAAGGAAAAATTTTCTTAAGTAACTTAAAAATAATCGAAGAACTATTTTTGAAGGATCTGTGTTTTTCTAGGAGAATGATTTCCTTTTAATTTAGAAACACTGATTATAGTCTCTCACCTATAACATATAATTCTGTGTGGGGGTGGCTTGTTCCTTTTTACTGAAAATGAACAGTTTAATACCTTAAAACTGAATGACTTTAAGTGAAAGGAGAAATGTATTATGTGTGTACAAGGTGTTTCTAAAAAGATGAGTAATATACTTGTATAGACTGACACTAAAATAGTGTTATATGCTTATGCTTTGGGAATACTTTAATGATTTGATTTTTAAACTAATGTGCTTTAAAATGTGCTTAAGTATAGTAAGAAAACAATTTATACTCACGTATCACTTAATGACAGGGATACATTCTGAGAAATGCATTGTTAGGCAATTTTGTTGTTGTGTAAATACTGTACTTATACAAACCTAGATGGTATAGCCTACTACACACCTAGGCCGTATGGTATAACCTATCGCTGTTAGGTAGACTACAGACCTGTGTAGCATGTTACTATACTGAATACTGTACGCAGTTGTAATATACTGGTAAGTATTTGTGTATCCAAATGTAGACAAGATAATGCATTGCACTGTTATGTTCTAACAGCTGTGACATCACTAGATGATAGAAATTTCTCAGCTCCATTATAATCTTTTGGGAATACTGTTGTATATGCAGCTCATTTTGACCAAAATGTGACTGTATTTGGAAAAGGAGAAATGCCATATGTTCACAGTTTGGCCACATATTATCAATTACATGTATGTCACAGAGTGTACTTCATGCATTCAGTCCAGGAACAAATACTTAGCGAGATTATCCAGGCCCAGGCTATGGTATACCCCAGCATTAGGTACAGTGGACAATTAGATAACTAATACTTGGTTTGATATATTTTTGAAAACCAGTAGAAAGCTTTTGGTTATCGGCTCGCCTCCCCACGATCTAGCCCTGTATTTGAAAGGAATTACCCCATCCTCCTCCCTACCTCCTAGCCAGGCCACGGGAATGGGCATTCTAGTCCCGACCCAGCTAAGCACAAATAGGGGTTCTAGCCCTATTTGTGGAAATATACATATTTCAGGAAATATGTATATTTCCTGAAAAATACATATTTCAGGAAACTAGGAAAGTAAGACCTATATAAAATAAAAATTATCTGCATATTTTCATGGTATAAAAATTTGTTCACATGTTCCCCTCTAATGTGATCCCATAGTCACAAGTCCACTTGAATTCTGATCGCATCCTTGTATAGTGCCTTTGGTACTTACAATGAGAGATAAGCCAGTAGAGCCTGCATCTGCCTCCCTACTGCATCAGGTAGAGATATTTAAGGGTCCCGTTTGCTTTCTGCTTTTGACTTTTACTTTTAGTCTTCCAGCAGCTTCACACTTAACTCTTTTTCTCCTTCTGTAGCTTCTGTAATAAACATTCATTTTACACATTCAAACACATACAGTCTTGCAATGGAAGTTTTCAAAATGCTTGCTTTTCTCAAAGATTTTAATAGATAGAATTAGTGTGACCAGTATACCTTTATAGGAAATAACAGCTGAATGAGGAATGGCATAGATCATCTAAAAATTGCAGCACTTTTCTAATCAGCATATTACAAAAATTTATCAGATTCAGACAGACAAATCTCTACTCACTTTATATTTTTTTTTATATTTTACATGTAAATGTAAACCAAAAAATGCTTTTTAAAGGGACGGTAGATATTAAATAAGGGAAGCCAGAGTCTGATCCATTCCCAGTGAGACTGTAACTCCTTGGAGAAAATGCCAGTAGTATTTCTGTTGGGCTAGCATTATGAGAGAGTGCTTGGAGTTATACTATCACCTAGCAATCCCAGGCCTGAAATTCACTGGACAGGATATGAAGAAATAGGAAGAGAGCAAGGTAGCTAGGGAAAATAAAGGCAGATTTGGGCAGGTTCTGTGGAAATGTTTTCAGGCTATACAACTTTGGTCCTCTGTGTGATCTTGCCTTCTCCATTACTACTCTTTAAAAAAAAAAAAGCTTGCTATGTTCTCTCAGGGGCCAGCCTGGTGACAGCATTTCCAGATCTCATCTTTAACATGACTGCATAGCAAGGGATTGTGTCTGTTCTTATAGACCACCTTGGCTGGGTGTGGTACCTTATGCCTACAATCCCAGCATTTTGGGAGGCCGAGGCGGGCAGATTGCTTGAGGTCAGAAATTCCAGACTAGCCTGGCCAACGTGGTGAAACCCCATCCCTACTAAAAATACAAAAATCAGCCAGGCATGGTGGTACACACCTTTAATTCCAGCTACTTGGAGTCTGAGGCAGGAGAATCACTTGAACCCAGGAGGTGGAGGTTGCAATGAGCAGAGATTGTACCATTGCACTCCAGCCTGCGCAACAGGGCGAGACTGTCTCAAAAGAAAAAAAAAAATAGACCATCTATCTTTGTGTGAGCTAGAAAGTGAGGGTAAGGAAGGGTAAATTTGAAGGCAGAACCACAGCAGAGTTTATTCCCCCACTCCAATCTCCCTCTTCCCCTTCGCCCATCTTCCGTATTCCCCCTTCCAGTTTTTTTTTTTTTAACCCCTTTTCTTATATCTTTCTTGCTTTCTTGCTCTTTTTTTCTTCTTCCCTCTTGGACTTTTTCTTAATCTTCATTATCTTTCCTCATTTTCTTTCCTTTTCTTCCCTACCCTTCATATTGTCTTTCCTGTTTGTCCATGTGATTTCTTCTCCCTCTTTACCACCTCTTACCTTCTTGTATTTCCTTTTTCTCCCTCCCTATTCACTTCTTCCTTTTTCTTGTCCTTCGGTTTAATTGTTGCAAACATGTCACTCAAAAGGCCTGTCATTCCCTTGATTTCTAATTTATCATGTCAACCTCTAATAAATTTAATAGAGAATAGTTTCCCCATTCACTTTTCTCCCCATCTACTCAGATCTATCCCCTTCTCTGATGGTTATTTTGAAGTTTAGTGCTTTAAAAATGTGTCAGATTAAAACTTGTTTAGAAACAGCCAGGTAGCTGGAAATTAAAAGTATGTAAGAGATCATTTGCAGGATGGTTAATACATGTGTAAGTACTACAGAGTTGACTGTATATAAGTACGTTGTAGATGCATTAGGCTATTCTGTTCTCTGCTTCATCTCTTAGGTTGGTGGAACAAGAATGCCTACACGCAGCCACAGGAATCCAGTTACCATGGAAACCAAAAGCAGTTGCTTGCCTGCTCAGCAAGTTGAAACTGAAGGAGTGGCTCCAAATAAAAGAAAAATAACTTGAGGACTGTACCATGGAAAATTAAATTTTAAAAAGTAACAGTTATAACAGTGTTTAATTTAGAAAAATATGAGGGGAAATATGACTAAAAGATCAGAAGGCAAGACGAACATTTTTCCTATAGTATCCTCAAGAGTTCTTAGAGTGCCTTGAAAAAATACATTGGCTATGTGAAGGAGTGTTTCAACTAAAATGGAATGTTATGCTTGCCACCTTTAAAGTCTGAGGAGAATCTTGATACGTTTTAACATATTCATGGCAGGGAAATATATAAAGAAGAAAAATATTTTTACATTAAACCTTTTCTAAAAATTGTAAATATAAATATAATTTGCTTTTTTACCAAGAACAACACTTAACATTATGTATTGTTAGTTATATTGCCAGTCTATTGAGACTGACTCAAAAGGTTAAACATTGCCACTGTTGGAAGATAAGTTTTTATATACTTTAAAATGATGAATGTTGCAGTTTAATAAAGCTAATACATTTAAAAACCTGGTCAAATTCCATTACAGAAGCCAAAAATTAAAACTCCCTGCCTCTGAAAAGTCAGATTACAATCTTCTTGTTTGGCAACCATCAGTGTGTTTTTTTAAAAAAAAAGGTGTTTTTTTTTTTTTTTTTTTTGGTGATATAACATGTTTGATGACAGATCTCCCTCTGTCTTTACCTAGATTCAAGCTAAGTGTTGAAATATGCTGCTGAAAGCAAAGAAATGAATTTGGTTTCCAGAAAAAAAGCCAGTATCTTTCCTCCAGTGGACAAGGTTAATGTGTAAAGCATAAGCTGTTTTTATCCTCATCTATACTGATTGATTTAAATTTTCTGGGCCTGCAGATTAATTCAGAAGAGGTTATAATCAGCTGATGTTGCTGTAGCAAATTTGGACTTAAGAAACAACAGGCAGGGCTGGGCACGGTGGCTCACACCTTAATCCCAGTACTTTGGGAGGCTGAGGTCGGAGGATCACTCAAGTCCAGGAGTTCGAGACCAGCCTGGGCAACATAATGAGACTTCATCTCTACAAATAGTAAAAAAGTTAGCTGGGTGTGGTGGTGTGCGCCTATAGTCCCAGCCACTCAGAAGGCTGAGGCAGAAGAATTGCTTAAGCCCCGGAAGTTGAGGCTACAGTGGGCCATGATCGCTGTACCACAGTACTCAACTTGAGTATCAGAGGGTTGACCCTGTCTCCAAAAAAAGAAAGAAAGAAAGGACAGACTTGTTTAATCTTTAGAACCTTAAACTAAAATTTTCAGAAATTATGTATGTCATTTGTAAAATACAAGTTTTGCAATCCTAGATAATTGCTTTGCGTTGAAATCTTTTAGCTATTCCATGTTAAAGAATGGCTATTTTTTTTGCCTAATTGCTAAGAAATTAGACCTAAAAATCTCCTCACATATCGTAACAGTTGAAAATACTTGTCTTTAACTACCAAGTTTTGTTTCATTTAATTTTTTTTATTATAAAACATTTTTAAGTTATTTAAGAAGTAATTATTAGTAAAATTGTACCTTGATAAATTGTTTTCTCTTCCTGCCATTCCCTTTTTTTAAACACTGAGTTTTTTGTTCTTTAAGCTGCATATTTGGGAAATGTTTTGGTTGTGAATCATTTGGCAGTGAGCCAAGGGAGAGGCAGGGATTCCCTTGGAATGTGCTCTCTTACTTTTTCCGTTTCTTTATTTCTAATGCGCACTTGTGTGCACCAAAATGGAATGTGCTCTTTTAAAAAAGCTAGACAGTGGTTGCTCCGAGCTTCTGAATACCAGAAAGACTTGCCTTTCACTTTTTAAATATTACTTTTTACATAGTGAAATATATAGCCATATATTTGAATAACACTGATTTTATATAAAGCTAGTTTTTTGCTTGTACTTAGTGCAGCCTCCTTTTTTAACATACATTTGATCATGCTTCAGGTTCTTTTTCTTGATTTTTAGTACTGAGAGTGTATAAGCCAAGAAGTAACTGGAATATGTTTAGCAGTATATAATCCCAGGTACTTGGGAGGCTGAAGTGGGAGGATCACTTGAGCCTAGGAGTTTGAGGCTGCAGGGAGCTATGGTGGTGCCCCTGCACTCCATCCTGGGTGAGAGATCAAGAGCCTATCTCAAAAAATGAGCAAGATTTTTTTTTTTTTTTTTTTTTTTTTTTTTTTTTTTGAGACGGAGTTTCGCTCTTGTTACCCAGTCTGGAGTGCAATGGCGCGATCTCGGCTCACCTCAACCTCCGCCTCCTGGGTTCAGGCAATTCTCCTGCCTCAGCCTCCTGAGTAGCTGGGATTACAGGCACGCGCCACCATGTCCAGCTAATTTTTTTGTATTTTTAGTAGAGACGGGGTTTCACCATGTTGACCAGGACGATCTCGATCTCTTGACCTCGTGATCCACCCGCCTTGGCCTCCCAAAGTGCTGGGATTACAGGCTTGAGCCACCGCGCCCGGCCAAGATTTTCTTTTAAAAATCAGACTTTGTATTAGCAAGGATGTGTTCAACCTGGCCCACTTACACCTCAGCATTGAAGGTATAATTCATACACACCTCTTTGAAAACACTTTAATTTAGTAAGTGTTTGAGTGCAACTAGCGCCATGCATTCCAAAGTAGGTCCCCACAGTTACTCTCTCATAGCATTGTTTTTTCAGATCTCACCATATTTATTTGTTTCTTTGACTTACTCTCTTTTTAGATTTCAAGCTCTGCAAGAACAAATGTGTATTTGTTTTGTTCACCATTAAGTAAGAAACACCTAATACAGTGCCTGTCATGTAGTTGCTTAGTAGTTACAAATTAGATGCATGAATGTGTAGATACCAAAGATAGTTTTTTTTTTTTCAAGAGCTCACATTCTAGTGGAAGACAATATATTGATCTATATAATAAGTGCTTTGATAAAGTAATATAAGAAAATCATTCAACTAGATCCTGGTAGTTAAGGTTTTCTGAGATAGAGCTTCAGCTGAGTCTTTTAAAAATTGGCCGGGCTCGGTGGCTCAAGCCTGTAATCCCAGCACTTTGGGAGGCCGAGGTGGGTGGATCACAAGGTCGAGAGATCGAGACCAACCTGGTCAACATGGTGAAACCCCGTCTCTACTAAAAATACAAAAAATTAGCTGGGTATGGTGGCGCGTGCCTGTAATCCCAGCTACTCAGGAGGCTGAGGCAGGAGAATTGCCTGAACCCAGGAGGCGGAGGTTGCGGTGAGCCGAGATCACGCCATTGCACTCCAGCCTGGGTAACAAGAGCAAAACTCCGTCTTAAAAAAAAAAAAAAAAAAAAAAAAAAATAGTAGGAGTTAAAAGGGAAAAATAAAAAGTCTTCCACAAAGAAACTAAGTGAAACTAAGCCAATGAAAAGGTGAAAGATGGAGAGATTGTATGCTATGAACATGAGAGATGAGAGAGAAGAGTACAGGGCAGAGACAGATACACCATGCTAAGAGATTTGAATTTTGTCCTGTGCAATGTGGGAACCAGTAGTGAAGGTTAATTAACTGACATGGTTTGATAGGTTTTTGAAAAGGGCTCTTGTTGGCATTAGTCTAGAGAATGTGATAGAGCTGCGAAACGAGGGAAAAAATGTTGGGAGGTTGTGTTGTAGTTATTTAAAAATGGCAATGGGCCAGAATTAAAGCAACGAGTAGGAGTGGGCTCAGGTGATGTGTAGGGGGGAAAATGACAACTAAGTTTTGTGGTTAACAAGGAAGAGTAAAGTATGGCTTCTGGGTTTCTCATTTGACATACTGAGTAAATGACGATGTTACCCACTGAGAAAATAGTACTGTGGTTAGAGTAGGAAGAAAGTTAATTTAAAATATTTATTTCCTTTAGTCATTCTACTTTTGGATTCTAGGTTTGGGTGCTATATTGGTTATAAACAATTTGCTGAATAATAAATTATCCCAAAACGTAAGATACTTAAGAAAATGATCTCATGGTTACCATGAGTCAGGAGTCCAGGTCTCTCAGAAGTTTCAGTCAGGCTCTTGGCTAGGGCTGTAGTCATCCGTAGGATTAACTGGTAAGTTGCTAAGCCCCCACTTAAGCTCCACCTTTTAAGGGAGAAGTTTGGAAAATTTGTGACCATATTTCTTAGTCAACACGTATGCTATGATCTGGTAGGGGAGGGAGAGGAAAGAACACTTTTTAATTTTTTATTACTAGCATACTGTGTCTAGTTCCTAATGGACATGTTGTAAAGATATTAAGGTGTTTTCTATGCATTATAGATATATAGTAGCTTTTAATCAAACCTGAAAGTGTTTGGTAACAGATTGATTGAGTTTTTTGTTGAGATGTAGAAATAATGGGGATTCATTTCATTGATTCATCTATTGTTGCCGTGTCCCCTTGACATACGTCCAGACTACTTAACAAGGTATATAATGGCAGACACACTTACAAGGCATCTATCTGGGATTTGGATCTGCCCTGCAAGGCAAAACTTACTGAAAGAGTTAAGAACCAGACCTGTGTTTCTAAGATGGGTGGGTCTGTAGATTACTTCATCAAACAGATTTAAACAGTCAAGAGTTTGCCTTGACAGATGTGGTTGATTCTTTAAGAAAGTAGGAGGAAAGCCTAAGTATGACCTGATTGCTGTTTTGAAAGTGAAAAACTGTTAAAAAGATTCTGTGATTAGTGGGTTGAACTTCTCCTTCCCTTTTCTTTAAATTCTGTTTCTTGTGGGAGTAGGGAGAAGGAGTATTTTCTTTGCTTCCTATCCTAGGTTTTGCTTATTTAAAAATATATAGCACTAGAAAGTATGTACACATAGTCCTAAGAGACGTACACCAGTAGAGCAAAGCCGCATTGATAACGTGAGTTTCCAGTCCCTTCCAAGCACTGCCTTAATTCAACATCTGCTCTAGCCAGGGTTTAACATTACATAAATTAGCTATTGTCCCTGCCTGCATGCTGTTGTACATGATTCTACATCTACTTGGATTTTTTATTATTGCCTATCAAAACCTTGCCTGTCCTCTATTGAATTGTTAATGCATTTTTGAGTATTTATTGGATGGGTATAATGCAGTAACCAATCTCTCGGTATTTAAAGATAAATTTAATATTGGTTTCTTCCTTAAGAGTATTTCCTAATCTAATTGGGGGGACAGATATGCATAATTAACTATAATATAAGTGAAAATGTTCAACTGACACAATCGTGCAAAGGCGTAAGGAATCAGAGAAAGGCACGGTAGAAAAGACCTTTAAGCTCTTTGAAAGACACATAAAAATGGAAAACAGGAGGCAGAGCATTGCAGGGTGAGAGAAAATCATGAAAGGGGCTGGATTTAGGAAATAAGCAAAGTTGGTCATGTGAAAAGCATGGGGTGAAATGTAGTAAATGGGAGATGAGCTTGAGGAGGTACATTGGAGCTCAATAGTAGGAGATACTGAATGTTATACCTAGATAGTTTGATTTGATTCTGAAAGCAATGAGGAGGCATTAAAGGCTTTAAAGCAAAATGGTTAATTTTAGGAAGACTACAATATAAATAATTATTTAGAGAGGAGAAAGACCCATGGCACCGAGGTGTTAACCATACATACAGCAGGTGGATTAAAAAGGTATGAATTGGAAAGCTGTTTTAAGAGGCAGCAG